GTGGGTGTTGTCGTTGTACTTGGTGTTGTTGTCGTAGTTGGTGTTGTAGTGGTGCTAATCATCGTTGTTGATATAGCTGATTACAAATAAAATATTATTAATAATCATAAAACAGTAAATGATTTATAACTCTCCAGTTGACATACAAAAACTTCTCTATTTAGCAAAAATTTTTTCTTCCATAAGAATATCAACACTCGAAATCGAGTAGTAAATTTCATCTTCATATTATCTCATATCTTAGATATTCTATCGTGAAGAATGAAATACTCAGTATGATCACACTTACTTGTTGAGGGTGTTACTGTTGGAGTAACAGCGGGCGCATCTAAATAAAAAAAGAAGTTTATTTTAAATAACATAAAATATTTTAAAGAGTAAATGAGATACTTAAACACAAGTAACTAATTTACACATAAAATGATGAATGGTTAGTATTCTATCATCGTCATTTTTGCAAAATAAATTTTGTTTATCGCATTTTACAGTTGTAAAAAATAGACTGGCATTTGTATTGCTTCTGTCGATATATTTTTATTAATTAGTGTTCAATAATATTATATTGAAAGAGTCAAAATGCTCTTACAAAAAGATTTTAGTAAATATTCTTTTAAAATAAAGATCATATTTCTATGTTTTTCACATTATTCAATACATCTTTTCTTTCTACATGAAAAAACTGTTGTATTATGTTAATCATAGTTTTTTTAGAGACGAAACGGATTTTTCTCATTTATCATAATCTGAATGTACCATGAAATAACTAACAAAAAAACTTGATGCTACACAAATAATTCAATATGTTACTAATTTAAATTAATATTAGCTCTTATTGGTTAATAGACATAATAATGATATATGTTATCTAGAACGATACACATGATATTATTGTCCTTTCTCAAACTAAAGGGTTTCTTAGTTTCATTTTTCGATATAATGATTTTCTATGATTAAATAATGCACCTGTTTCTTCGCCTTTTTTCACTAACGTTGGTATCAATACACCAACTGCTATGAGAACACCAGCAACACAAGCACCTATGGTTGCTGCAGCAATGTAACGTTTTTTTCTTGTCCAAAATCTAGAAAATATTTAATAAAATTAAATTGAATGATAAGAAAAAGAAAAACATACGTTGCATTCGACTTTTTTGATTCAACAACTCGAAGTTCTCTTACATTCATTTTAACATGGTTCACTGCCTGACGAGATGGCTATAAAATTAGTAATCGAGTTAATTTATAAATAAAATAGTTATATTGATTATCATACCAAATATGTCAAATCTCTATCAGCCATTGTTGCCTTAATCGATGAAAACTATTTTATAAAATTATTATTGAATAAAATATTCTTCCGATTTTCTCTCCGATTTTTAATAAGTAAAAAAACAAGGCGTTTCGTATATTTATACGCACATCAGACAACCTCCTCAAAATGAAAAAAAAAAAAATTGGAAAAAATAATGTTGTTTATAAAAAAAAACATACTCTCAATACAATCTGCTCATAGCTTTTTTTGTTTCGTTTTCTTCTATGCTACAGTAGATGATTAAAAATAATAAAATAATATGTGCTTTGTTGATGCAGCAAACGAGGTATTTTTAAAATGGTATGCAAGATATTTTCTAGTGATCAGACAGAAGCTTTTAGACCATTTCTATTTGCTTTGAAATAGCTCATGTTTTTATTTCTTATTCTTTTCAAACAGAATATACAAAATAATCGAACAATTGTTTTTACTTTAGATTGGTTATTAATGTATACAAGCATTAAAGAGAATCGTTGAAAAATCTGGAAAAAAAGTCGGTTACTCCATACGTATGATAAAATAAAAAATACACTAGTAAAAAAATTTGTCCGTGAAGTTTGAGAGTCTGCTCTATTTTTTTATATTGATTTTATTTTCAAGACATATTCGATATGTAAGTCAGTTCAAGAAAGTATATCTTTGTAAAATATTCTCTCAAAAACATTCAATAATATTATTGTCCTGGTATTTAGACTACTAAAAATGGCAATAATATTACGATTAGTTTTTAACAAAGAAATCATTTTGTTATTCACGTACTATATTTTAAATCTATAATTGAGAAGAGATTCTTACATGCTTAACAATTACAGGGACGTAAGTATAGGGGGCAACGCTCCCTGCTTTTTAAAAACAGTTACAACCGAAACTCAACCATTTTTTCTCAAAATCGAATAACAGTGAATGGAAGTTATCTGTATTAATCTATGAGACATATCAATAAACTCGAAGTATTGGTTCTAGGAAGTAAATCTAACACAGTTCAGTTCATATAGAGAAAAAAATGAACTAATTAAATTAAATCCACGTTTTATGATTTACAATAGTAACGCTTACTGTGAATAGAATCCTAAGTGGAGAGCAAAATGTAATTACTAAATATTTAAGGGTAGTATTTAAATGATCAGTTTTTTATACTGAATTATCAGTTGTTTTCTTACAAAGTAATCAGTAAATATATTTACAGAACGGTGAAAACTAATATAAATGCGATGATTCACTGATCAAACATAATTAGCTACTGATCGAAATGATTAAACTACTGATCAAATCCAAAAGTCACTGATCATTAATTATTCTACTGACTGTTTCAGTTTTTTTACTGATAAAATAGCCTTAATTACTGATCGCCTTCTACTGTTCATTTTGAATAAAAAACTGACCATTTAATTTGTACCCAATATTTAATAGTTAATTAATTATTTCTCATCTAACTACTAGTGCTCATGAATTGATCGTCAATGTCGTGAATAACAATTAATTAATTATTATATATTTAATAATCGCACCATGTAAATCATCTTGGGTTACAAATGAAGAGATCTTAATGTTTTCTAAATTATAAAACATGAACTGAGATTTATGGGCTCCAGTTTGGCTGACACCAGTTTTGATTCATTTCATACGACCACCAAACTTGAATAAGATTCTTTCACTTTCTATAAAGTTTTTATTCAATTGATTTTATTATTGCAATGGTAATACGAAGGAATATGGATCTCAAAGAAATTGCTCGGTGTGATGTCAACTACGTGTGGGTGAGCGTATCTCTACTACCATTACACCCACACCCACCCTCGAGTGAATAAGTCTCTAGCTTATTAAAAATATCGATTTAGTTTATGTACTGATTGCTAATCAGTAATAAGACGAATGATAAATAATTCTTTATTGAATGAATACATTGAACAACAAATAAAAAGTGAAATTTAATAAAATGACATACAAACACAAAATATAAATATTCGCAAATAGTTCTTTTACTTATAATAATTAAGTAAAAAGATATGATTAAATTTGATTTTGTCTATATTCTTAATTTTTCATTTGTGTGAGTAATAAAAATCTATAAATAAACAATAATTATATGTATATCAAATTAAAACAAAACATACTCGATTAATTGCATCCAATAATTCATCAATTTTGTGTGGAAAACGTTCCATTGGATTCATATTTTCCAAATGCGTTATTGTACTTACTTGTTCTTCGTTCATAGATTTTTTCCATCCTAAAATATATTATCTAAGATATTTTATTTGATTAAATAAAGATTTAATTACCTATCCAACATTGAAATCTTTTTTTCATAAATAAAAATATATCATCTTTGTCACTTGGAATATTTTCTCTAACATGACAAAAACCATCGTTAATTATTGAAATAAACATACTTAGACAAATAAAAACAACGATAATAATAAATAAAGTGAAAGAAAATGGACCAAGAAATCCTCCAGCTTCAACTAATTCATGGGCATCAAATTTCATTAAGATCGTTTCAAATAACATTTGTATTGTTTTTAATAAAGTTGAACATGATCCAAGTTTTGCAATAAATAATAAGTAAAACAGACAAACAAATGAAAAAAATATTATTAGGAATATCATTAAAAATCCTAATAATGCTCTGCCACAATATTTTAATGTTTCAATAAATAAACAAAGACGTCGATTAAAACGACATAGTTTAACCAATTTAATTGTACCAAAAAACGAACAAAATCCATACAAATACATTAAAATATCATTAACATATGTTGCTAATTGTAAATTTATATAAACATATCCATTTGTTTCATTAAATAATTTTCCAATACGTTTTGATTCATTATATCGCCAAATATAAATACCAATACCAGTCCATGAACATGCTATTATACCAATGTCAATATAAGACCAAAATCCATGAAAATATTTCCATTTCAATTTTAATAGTAATCGAACTTCTCTCCATAAAAAATACATGACTATTATCATATAAATAATTATTGAAACTAATTGAATTACTGATGTAAATGCTAAATAAAAAAAAAAGATTTTTTATTTTATTAAAGTAAACCCATATAAATGTACTGAGTTCAAGGCAGCGTATCAAAAAGCGCCTAGTAAATGGGTACTTAACTGAGTACTGTGTGGGCATGGGTGGATGTGAGTGAGTATGGGTGGGTGTGGGCCTTGTTCTTATCTCATACTCACACCCCTAAAGGTACGGGTACCCATAGAAGTACTTGTTTAATAAGCATACTGCTATGTGTACCCAACGCAATGCCTACATTAAGATAATTACTCCGAACTTTCTCAGTGCATGAATACCCTGAACTCAGTACTTCCGCTAGGGAAAGAATGTGTATGATACTGTACTGTAGAAATTCATTGGTTCAAAACGAGCAGTTGTAAATACTCCAGTTGATGATAAAAATTCTGCAAGAAGTGTAGCAGAAGTAAATAATTGAACATTTGGATTATATAGAGTTAATTGAATAATAACAGCTCGTGTTTGATTATTAATCCATTCTAATTGATGGAGTAAAGATAAATTACTTTGAAGTTCTGATAAAATACCACGAAATTCATATACATAACCATTTCCACTATAAGTTCCATGTTCTCCAACGTATACATATGTATCTAAATTTTCACTTGTTGAATATTGAAATGATTGCATAATTGTTGAACTATAGTTTTGTGTTGTCTCATTTGTCCATCCTGGTTTATATGAATATTTGTCTTCATTAAAGAGACTATAATCATATTCACATGTTGAAGTAACTTGATTTTTAACATCACATAATGTTGATTTAATGCGTAATTGTCTGATAGTTGCCCAACCAATGAATCGATTGGATTTATCATTAATAAAACCACTTAAATTTCTAGGTGGTTCATTATTATACCATTTTTGAGCACGAATATTTTCAACAAAACTATTCTCTAACCAATTCCAATATTGATCTATTGTTGTAATCTAAATATTCATTTAAATAGATGAAAGAATACCTAATAAGAAAAAACTAACTTTTGTAAAATCACAATCAGTTTGTCTTGAATTTGAAAGATATTTTTGTAAATGATTAACTTGAAGATATGAATTTAAATCACGATTTGAATAAATTATAAGATAAAGTGTAATTATAAAACATAAATAAATTGATACTTCTCGAAGAATTGACCACATTTGAATTTCATTTAAACGTTGTTTACGAGCATGAATAAGTTCAGCTTTATTCAAGCGATTTACACGAGGTGAAGATTGACAAACAACTGGAGAATGCTTCTATTTTAATTAAAATTAAACAAGAATAATTAGTAGTGTGATCAAACAAGGCTGAAGAATAGACTCAATCTTATCATCAGACTTTGGGACTGATTATTGCGTCAATATTTCAACAAGTTCATCGACTTACTGTCTCTTCGCCACTGGCGAAAATGTGGAGGATTTGTTGGCGAAAGTCCGGGGGCGATTTAGCGCAAGTCCAGTGGACTTTCGCCAACTGTCAGAATACAAAATTAGTGTAAAATGCATAGAAGAAATTAACATAGTGTTGTCAGAATAAGCATATTATAGCCTAAACCCCTCAATAAAGTTACCAGGAGCTATTTTTATACATATACAATCACATAATGACAGTGGCAAAATCCTATTGCATCCTCCTTAAATTTCTGGCTATGTTGCTAGAACTGAATATGAACTAACCTTAATTGGATGAAGATATTCTTCATCATTATCTAAATCAAGTTGATTATCATCCAAAAATTCATTTGCTTGTTTATCATCATTTGATTTTCGACAGAAAAAAGCAAAGAACATTGCTAACGCTATTATTTTCAATGGTTGTGTTAAAAGAACCGAAGAGAAAAATCCACTTAGAATTGATATTAACCATTTTTGAGTTTTTTCATCACCAAATTCAATACCACGAGCAATTATAAAAATAATTGAAACACTAACTAATATTATACAAAATCCATATGCAATAAATATACACCACCAAGGAAATGATAGTGAAGATCTTTTCTTAGTTGTCTTTTGTTCAGTTTGATTTTGACTAGAAAAAGAAGAAAAAAAAGTATATATAAAAATATCCTATTGAATCTTTCAAACATTTCTGTATCTGGTTTGATTTTATTTAAAACTTGTTGTAATGGTGAAAGTTGTTTTTTACGAGGTTGAACACGTCGAAATAATTGTACAAGTAAAAGACTTGGAATTAATGCAAATAATTCAACAATTATACCAATAATTACCTATTGAATATATTAAATAGAATAAATCAAAGGAAAAAAAGATTTGTTGTACTTGTTGAGAATTAAGATAAAACGAGCCAAAAGATAAACTAGCCGTACTTGTTGAATTATTTGTTTTTGATTCCGTTGATAAATCATAATACATTATATTTAAAAACATTGAAATAAAAAATAAAACAAAACAACATGTACATCGTTGAACACGTGTAAATTGATTTGATGGTGGACGAGAAAATATTGAAAACCATAAATGACCATCCGATACACTATGATATGCATTTTTTGATACCATATATGAAAATGCTTGTTTTTCAATATCACCAGCAACAGGTAAAATACGTTCAATCTATAGATAATGAAAAAATAAATATACTTTCTTTTAGAAGAAATTACCTTTCCATCATCTTTTTCAACTGCAAACCAACGTTGTGAAATAAAATGAAATTTTTCCATTGTTTGTAAATCACGTACAATTATATATTTTAAAAACCATGATGATGATGAACCATTACCTGTATTATCATGCCAAATACGAGCATAATTTAATAATCCTAATGATCTGAATAATAATAAAAGAAATAGATCTTTTGTAAAAAACTCAAAATGAACGTTTACTTTGGAACAGACATTAAAAATGCATCGACTCCACCACGTTGAAAAATTTGTCGATGAGAATCGGATAATGTACGAATACGTGTTTCATCCTTATCACCCGATAATACAATATGAACCTGTTAATATAGTTTTAAGATATATTCTTTTGATCTATTTAGTTTTCTCATCTTACTTTTGATTTTGTTCCAGCATCTTTTCGATGACCAGTAAAAATAAGAATTTGATAGAAATATCGATCCTTCTTGTCATTATCAGGTAAAAATGTTACGCCCAACTAAAATGAAACTTCGTTTAAAGTAACATGCGTGACAAAAATGGTAGGCTTTGCCAAGTCACATTGCCGATATTTCAACAAAATTAAAATTTGTTTTTCTGTGGGAAAGAACCATGTCTGAACTAATCTGATAAGAAGAAAAAGCTAGAAACTAAAAGAGCCTTGCAACTTTTTTACCATTTATCCAATCCGATTATTTCGAATACCTCAATATTTTCTCTACAACTACTACCAGGCGACGCTCTGGACAAAAGGTCGGCCTAACTCGAAATTCTGCTGTTTAATTATTTAAGGTTCCCGTACACTCGGACTAATCACAGGAGCTTTTAATGTATGACGATCACGCAGTTAGATTTTAATCGGACGCACGATCTGAGTGACTTATCTAGAGTAATTCTGTGTCAGGAAGCAACGAGGTTCGAACAACTCAGTCATAGCAGTCTCTCACTTTATTGCCTCTCCTAACGATATAACCCTTCAACAAGTAATTACATATATGAGTAAAATAGAATCCTTAACAATGACGATCAATTCTCTTTTATAAAAGTTTTATCGAAAAAACCTTTGCTTTCATTTCTCTTATAATATAAAAAAATGTATCTCATACAAAATTTGTCATTCCGACTTTGATCTTTTTCACAAAAAATCGACATTAATGTCACTTGATAGAATCTAACATTTTTGTATCGCATATGAATTTCTATATACCTTTTCAATATCTTTTCTATCTTTATAACGTGCATAAATCATCAAGCTAATGTAAATAATTGATACAATAATAATAGTTAAATAAATGGTTTTATTTTTGCTAAAATCAGCATTAGCAAAAACATATTTCCAATTAATTGGTGTTGGTAAGATTTGATATACACTAGCAAATGTTGTTAAATGATTTGAAAAACATTGAGTTTGAAAATGATTAGTCAATGGACCGACCTTTAATAATTAAAGAAATATTCGTATGAATAATCAATCAAAAAAACATTTTTTTTTCTTACGATTAATCCATCGTATTGCCATAGATTATTTTTCTCATAATAGAAACAACCGGATGTATAAATTCTCAATTCATAATTTGATATGAAATTACGTGGTTGATTTATTATTGGTAAAGTCATATTTATTGATGAATTTGAACAAAGATTTTCTATTTCAGTTGAATTTAATTCTCGGAGACCGAATACGATCGATTGATGATTTAATGTTTGTTGATTATTAATAAAATATGTATAAAGACTTTCGTTTGTCAAATCTATATTGAAATAAAATTATTAGAGAAATTTTTTTTGCAAAAGAATAAAATTATTTACTTGAAGGACAAAAAATTGTCCATCCATCACTATTTGAACCATCCGCTGAAGGTATTTGATCAAATTTATAAATAAATAAATAAGCAATAGTCACATTTAAAGGGTGAATATCAAAATGAACTGAAATAGGTAGAGGATTTGTGATATTCACATAATGAAAGTGAAAGAATTGATTATCAAGAGTGGAATTTATCGATGTAACATTTTGTAAGATCATTGATGAAATAGTCATATATGGATCACGTGGAATAATTATATTAATTGGATTAGCTGAAGTTGTTTTTATAGAAATTTCATTTCCATTTTGATCAAGAATTGAAAATGATGCTGATCTTGATAAATTTGTACTTATTAATGAAGATGTCCAATTATTAAATGAAACAAGTGGTTTCATAATTGACTAAAAAGAAAAAAAAATCAAATAAAAAGAAAATTAAAATTAAAATTTTACTCGAATAGAAATTTTTGAAATATTATTTTGATTTAAATAAAAATTTTGAGGAAATTCTATTTGACCATTTTCAATTTGTTTGATAAAATGATTTGAAAGATCTTCAACTGATATTGTTTCTAATGACATATATACTTGACTTGTATTTATTATTGAACTTTGTTTAATATTTAAATAAATATTTAATAATGAACTTAATAATGATATTAAATCATTCATTTGATTTGTTAATTCATTCGCTAATTCTTTTTGATAATATTTATTTCGATTTATTTCAATTGTTTTCCATGAAAAATCATTTCCATCAGCAAATAAAACTTTAGAAAAACAAAATTTATATAGGAATATCTTATCAGAACAAATACTTCTAACTTACTTAGTTTTGACCATTCAGAATCTAAATCTGTATCGTAATCATCAGAAAATTTATTAGCACGATTGTAATCCAAATCTAATACAGTTGTTCGCCCTTGCAATGGACCATTCACAGCCTAAATTCATTATTAAAATTCAATGTAAGAGAAATGAAGGGATTATCATGAGCAAAAGAATTATTGTATGCTCAAGATGATTCGAATTACTGGAACTTCGTCAATAAGACTTTCGCCAACTGGACACTCGCCACTGGCGAAAGTACTATTTGACGAAAGTCTTATTGGCGAAATCCGGAATCCCGGCTATTCAAGCTAAGTAATAATTAGTTTATTGAATTTTCGATATCAAGTTGGGCGTTGATTGAAAACCCCATAAACCAGTCATACGTCCGTTTTAACAGCTTACGCATATGAATTTATTTAGACTTTGGCCAGTATCATTGTGGGTAAGACGTGAGTCAAATATGAAAAATTAGGGGACCTCAGGCAATTTGGCTAAGGAAACGCAGAGGGCCTCCCCTCCTCCCACAGGGGCGTAGCTAGAGGGGAGAGGTGCACCCCGTTGCCAAAAAATATCTGAAGGGCGGTACGAGTACAGAACCTTGTGGCAAGACAAAAAGCTATTTTCCCGTTGATGTGCACCCGTCCCCTTCTCCCCCATCGATTCTCTCTTGGCGCCATCACTAAAAACATGTGGTTTTAATGATAAATTGTATATCCACATGTGTTTCTACACTTAACTATAAAGACTATTAAATATCTACAGATATGGTTTATTCATGATCTATTCTTTTGGAATGGAATTGTCAGCATTATACTGGTCTGAATAAAAGTATCTTACACTTAAAATATTAGCTGCGCATTGAATAAGTTGAGCTGCTGTAGTCTGAGCATCTTCGTATGAAATTTTTGTCGCCATTGAATACAAAGCAATTGCTAATTGATAACATTTATCTGATGCAATACTCTAAAAATGAAATTATTATAATAAAAGAAAAGAAAAAAACTGAAAATCTAACTAAAGTTGTTCTTGTTAATTGATTAGTTTCATTTGTTATTTGTGCTAATACTGTTGCTTGTAATTTAATACTATTCGATGTTGTTATTGGAAGATTTTGTGTAAAATTAATTAAATATTCTCGAATATTTGCATAAATATTTAATTCTTTATTGTATTCACTCAAAAAAGAATTATTCGATACGTTTGATGTCTAATTTCAATAGAGAAAAAAAAGAATTCAAATAGATAAATAAAATAAAATATGAATTACGTTTTGTAAAATTTGACTTCCTAATGATGAAATTGAAATACTTGTAATTGGAATATTATCTAAAAGAAAATAATAATAAATTTTTTTTTCTCAATAATATTCTTTTAAACTTTACTTAGAAAGGCTTTTTCAATATTTTTACGATTAATATTATTAAGATATTGTGAAAGTAAAATCATTGTTTGTCCAACTAGATTTTGATTTCCACTATAAAGTAATTGACATATTGGATTTGTTAAAATTTTACTTGATGAATTTTGAATATCATTAATAAAATTATTTATAGTTATCGAATCTGGTATAACAGTGACAGATGACATATTATATTCCATAGTACTATCATATATATCTCGAACATACATAATTAAATGAATTAATGATGTTTGATTATCTCCAAATGGTAAACGAATTTGAAATGTTGACATTGTTGAATAAGCAATAATGGTTCTTTCTGATAGATCATTTGTCCAAGCTAAATAAATTAAAATATTTATTTTTGTTTTTCAATTAAAAATATCTTTTTTTAACATACCATAAACAGTCCAATCTTTAATTGCATCATTATCAACCCAATCTATACATGATATATCAAATAAAGTACTTGTTGTACCAGAAAGTGGACTAATTGAACATAAACCATAATTTGGTGCTAGGTTTGTTACAAAATTTAATGAACTTAAACTTTTCTCAGTTACAAATTCATAAACAACTTCAAATCGCCAATGATTTATTTGCGCATTTGCAAGAAATAATTCATCGGTTACTGTTAAATTACTTGTATTTATACCTTCAAACAAAAAAAAAGTTATTAATAAAATTCTTATGGGATTAAAATTTAAAACAGCTGATTCGAATGGACAATATCTATCACGATCTATCGTACTTTCCATTTCAAAATAAAAGATGAGTGAATATCAGTGTTTTATCTAGCGAGTAGACAGTGCCCACCCAAAATTTTCATTTCGCCCATCCGGTAGTTCAATTCGCACATCCGGAAATCTTTTTCAGAAACGTTTCGAAGCATTTTCATGTTGTTACTATTGTTAGTTATTCAAAAAACTACCCCGCCCGCCTTTTATTTCGAAATGAGTAGTAGTTATAACTCAAATTTGTCGCGATCCTGGCTCACCATCTGTGGGAGGTGGTGCAAATTTCTACTTCTAACACTCCTTCTAGTTCGTGTTACACAAAAACTTTTCTATTTTATTAATAACAAAAGATATTTACCAAAAAACCAAATATTTTCATACATAGTTGTTTGATTAAATAAAGTCCATTTAGTAATTTTCAAAGACGAATTGACTTGGCCAGAATAAATATTCCATTTTATATTTTGTATTGTTGTACAGTTTCCACTACATACAGAAAATAAAGCAACTTGTGTTGTTGGATTAACACGTTGAAATTCTGTATATGTTTCACATGCTGTTGGAATAACACAACTGTAAATAATACATTTATATATTTATATAGAAAACAAAAAGCAAATTTACCCAATAAGAATTGTATCCGGATGATTATCTACGATTTGAACAAATAGATAACCAGTTGATTGAATTGATGAATTTCGACGATTTATTAATTGAACCATAAATTGATATGTTTGATTGGGTTGAAGAGAATGAGATAAAATAGTTATTGATGAATTTATTGAATTATTAAATTCCCAACCCAATCTATTTGTTAAACATGATGGATTCGATGAATCGTTTCGTAAATCATCAATTGTTAATAAAGTACCATTCAAATTTGGAAAAGTATATTGGCCATATATACGACAAAAGTATTCATATTTCCAATTCTATTGAATAGGAAAAAAAAATAATCAAAAAAAAATATTCATATCTATTATTAATTACAGCAGTATTGAATGTATCTTCGTCTGGGTCAACTGAATATGTTCCAGGATCTATTACAAGATTGTCTTCATATCCATATGTGATCATCGATGTTGCATATTGAATTAAATTTACTTTTATTAATGTTGGAATTATTTCAACATAGACCGATGTTGTTGTAGTTAAATTTGACATGTTAATTATTTTGACAGTTAATTCTAATTCATATATACCAAGTGGAAATGTTTGTTCTGGAATATATAATTCACTTGATGTTGTTATGATTGATGATCCGACTTGAATTTCATTTGAACAACTCGTATTGCAACTTTTTATTTTCCACTGAGTATTGATTAATAATGAATCGGCACAATTAAACTCAACAACTGAAACGATGTAAAAATCTCTACTTCGTTGAAATTCAATTGGTGTTAATAATGTTGATGAACCAGGAATAAGTGTCACTGTTGGCGAAAAACATCCTAGAATGACAAATATTTCAATATTATTATTTTTTATTAAAAATTATTGTAGAGAACAAACCTTGTATAATTTGCGTTGTGATTGGTATTGTTGACGTTGTGATCAGTATTGTTGGTATTGTTTCATCTAAATTTAAATAACAGACTTGTTTATATTAATACAAAAAAAATGTAAATTTTTAACTAGTTAAAAATATTATGCATAAGATTGAAATGCTAAAACTGTTTAGTTATAAAAATATGGTCAAGTTAAGTGAGCTCCAAATTTCAAGTTTTTCGACAAATTGTAGTTTGTAACTATGTGTTTTTTTTCTTGAGCATCACCAGTCGACTCAGTACAGTCCAGAGTATCTATTAGAGCAATCAAAATTTGGAGCACACTTAACTTGACCTAAAAATATGTACCAATGAGTATCAATTCGAATTATTCTCATGATACATGTTTCATACATATTCTTACTTCACTCTAATGGTAATTCTATTTTTTATTCATGTAAGGTACATTACCTTGAACAGTGGAGTTAGTATCGACTAATGCAACAGTTTCTTGAACGATTGTAGGTCCAGTAACTTCTGGTGATATTGTAGTAACTAAGAATGTAATACACCATTGATCAGACTGAACATTGAGATTATCAACGGCTGCAACACAAAGGCCTTGTAGACCACTTTGACTGGCTGATGGAGTCCAAGTAAAATTGATTTCATAGAAACCTACCAAATGAAAAATAATACAATACTAATTTGCAAAGTACAACATTTACTAACCTGAATTTTGATTTATAATTGCACTCTTGCTCATACCACTTGGACGACTGGAAAGAAAATCGACAATACTAGTTCCTGTGCAAAATACGTGTGCAATGACATTTTCAGTAATATTCAAACCAATAGGTGCAATAATAGGATCTAAAATAATAAATGATTATACAAATGTTCTGTAAAAGTTCTAAACTACCTCCATTTGTTTGATTTCCAATAATAATTGGTGGAGTACTGCAACTACTAATACTAGCATAACCATAGAAGAGAATTTGAAGAGGAGTGGAACTCATTGGTGTTGTTGTTGTGTTGCTATAATAATCTTCAATTTGTAAAGCAAGTACAGCATATGTATTAGCTTTTTGAAGTGTAAAGGTAATTGTGCAATTATTTCCGTTAAGAATGGCACCAGGAATACCATTACATATACCACCACATTCATCGTATGAATTTGTATTTGGTAATGTTTTACTCGACCATCGACATTTTAATACATCAGTTCGATCAGGATCGGACATCTGAACAGCATGTACATATTGAACATTAATTTGCTTATAGATAACAGGTAGAGTGGCAACAAAAGGACTGGAATTTATATATCCATCTAGTCTAAGCGCAGTATTAATTCGGCTGACGATAGACCAACTTCCAGCGACTCCAACAACAAGATTCGTTAACCAACAACAAGAACCGAAACCAATACTAAAATTACTGCCGACTGGTATTATTTTTGTTTGAGAATTTTCACCAAAGCTAACATCAAGATTGATATTGTAATCAGTACAGTATGTTTGTGTGGTCATAGGAATCCAAGAACGGTAAGTGCCAGAAACGACAGTAAGCGAGCCCTGATCTCCTATCATAGGACTCTGTGCAGCGATGCTTGCATCATTGCACGTATATGAGCTACGACGCCATGAAAACTGTTCCGTTACTAGAATGGCAACTGTACTGCCCGATGGAGTATTATTCAAAGGACGCCTACAAAAAAAAGTAAACTTTGTAAAAAGAAACCAAATAAAAATTGTTAGTAATTCACCATGTAATTGTCCCACCACGGAAATGAGAAGCATGTACAGTAGTAACTAATAGAAATGAAGAATATTATGTAAAAATTTCATGAATAAAAAGAAGGATATGAGTCGTTTTAATACTATTACGAAAAACTTTATTAATTCTTTACCTATTATTTGTCCAATGATGATGTAAATAATCCATAGATTTACATCACGTATAAATATCATTATAAATAATAGAAATATTTTTTTTTGTTGTCACCTTGTTAAGTAATAACAAAAAAAAAGAATTTCAAACAAAATGTCCTCAATTTTTTCCTTATCCCAAGAAAACGAGAATACAAATGCAATGAAACTAGTAAATTCTTCTTTAATATATTTACTTTTTTTCTCTAACACACTCGATCAACAATTTGCCGATTATTCATTCAATTTAAGATATATGATTTTAATTACAATACATTCAAAAATCAATAATAATTGAGTAAATAAGTTTCCGAACGAAGAAAATTATTATCCTAGAATTGCTCATATTAATTCCAGTAAATAAAAGTCATGAACAAAAATTTATTTACTCTTTAATGTTACAAATATCCATAAAATAAAAACTATAGAAAAAGAGACTTTTGTGAGTGCAGTAATTTTACATCTTTTTTTAAATAAATTTGTTAAATATGAACAACACAAATCAATAGACATCCTGTGAACACAAAATAATTTTTTTAGCCTTATTGAATGAACACATTTATGAAACATCAATATATATAACTGAAAAATTTATTATAAGCTCTGTATTACGGTTTCAATATGTCTATTTGCTGGAAAAAAAAGAAACGAGGTAATAAAATTATTTTCTCTATTATAAAAAAAACCTTCTAGCGTTTTCTTACTATTTTAAAGTTGTCCAGAAAAGATTGGTAGAAAAGAATGTATGTTTGATTAATGACTTTTAGTATTTTTGGACAATCAACATCAACAAAAAAGAAAAAACGGGAAAAGAAATTATTGACGTCAGTGTAAGTCATGTCTTTTTATTTGACTTTTTTAATATTACTTATTCTCCATCTATAACATAGAAATACTTTGGTACATCACATACTTGTGGAACTCGAGTTTTGAACTTTAAAGACCATTATGTGAGAGATTGATTTGTTAGTGTGAATTTAAGTCATAGGAGAGGATGAGCTTAGGTAATTGGGAGAGGAATATTACAAAAAAAGTAGAAGTTTAAAACTCGAGGATAATAGATTAATCATGTCTACGCTACTGAATCAAGGAGATAAAAAAAACTGTTTGAATTAATTTATAAATTATATAATATGTACTAGAGTATACAATAATTTTGTAAAGAGAATGAAACTTACATATTATCCTATATTGTTACTTGAATGATTGTTAGAGTCTTGTGTCAAAACGTGCTTCAATTAAAAATCATTACTGATACTTTTGCTGGAACTGTTCATTTTATTCCTACAATTACAATGACAATAAATAAATGTCAAGGTCAAAATTTTGATAAAGTTAGTCTATATCTTCCAAAATCCTAATTTTCTCACGGTCATTTTTATACAGGATGTTTAAAGATTTAAGTAAAAAGCATCTCTAGATAGGGCAAAATGAATAATAAACAAACTGTAACAGATAATGTTATTTACAAAGAATTTTTTTCATCAATTTTATAATTAATATTTTGAGTTTTTCATTCTAGTAAGTTTTTAATGTTCAATAAATCAAACTATTAATATAAAGATTTTATTGAATACAATTCTTCACAAGGACCTCTAATAATCATATAATAAAGTATAGTTATAAGATAGAACGAGAAAGAGCTGATCAAGTATATTCATGATCCTTTTTTTTTCTTTCAGAAATACAAAAGAAAGAGTAAGCATCATCTCATTGTGAGACTAAAATTCTTTTATGTTAATTAACAAATAAATATAATCATATTAAATCAAAAATAAATATGTTTAAAATCAATATAAAAATATTGAATAATATCAGAAAAAATAAAATATTTATTTTGTTTATTTTGAGGTTATCCTCTAAGAAATATTTCTTTATTTGAATTATATTAGTTTATAGTAATTTATAAATCATATTTCATTTACGATAAATAAATGAAAATATTAGTCGTCGTTTTTGTTTTGTTATAAATGATGTTTATTCACACGTTAGTTTTATTTCAAACATGATTCATACTTATTTTTAACTTCATAATGAGACAATATTCACTCTTTCTTTTATATTTCTATATGAAAAATAAAAAACGGTGATAATAATCGATCATTTCTTGCTCTCTTTCTATCTTATTACCGTATTTTATTATACGATTATACCACGTGAAGATAAACTCAATAGATATACATTATTACTGAATCATAATCAAATATTCTTTCTTTGTTTTGCACCGAAAGAAAAAAAACAGATATTATTACTGTATTTAGGAGCATTAAGTATAAAATAATACAATATAAATAGAGAAAGCTTTCATATCGATTTGTATTAAACAATTTATATTAGTCCTTCAATAAAAATATATATAAATATATTTCTTTTATCAACAATGGTTATTGTGGATAAAATATTATTTGTATCAATATTATCTTTTTTTGGATATGTTGTTGTAAATCTACCATCGGGCTTTGCTGCACCTTTAGAATGTAATAACGATTACACAAGTGAGTAGAATATTTATTGCTATTGTGCATATTTTATTTTGGTATTTATTTTAAAATAGAAGAGGAATTGGACGATTACTGCAAAAATCATGGAGGAGAAAAACCAGACATATGTAAAGAGTATTGTCAGAAAGCACGTACGATTGATACCTCATACTTACCACCTCCATTGGACAAGTTGAATCAAACTTTGATTGGTCAATTACGAGTTTTATGTGATGGTTTTTGTTACGAAAACAGTACATGCTTTTGTACCATAGGTAGTGGTGAATTAGATAAAAAACTATTGAGTATTAAGATTGGACAGACCAGTCCAGAATATACATTTGTTACTACACCGGTTGTTATAGGTGGTAAAAATATCACTTTAGCTGCACTTATTTGTGAAGACCCTAAATAAATCTGATTCAATATAAATTATTTTTTCTACATTAAACAAAATATTATAATCAAGCTTACTATTTCTATACTTATATAAATATTGTATTGTGCGGATTATTTTTTATTTTTAATAAACTTCTGTTTTCTTTCAAATGCAAGAGTGTTTAAATAAAAATTAAATAAATTATTTCAAGTTTAATGTTTATATTTATGTTTCGATTGTTAATCATAAATATAATGAGAAACTAAATTATAATTCTTATGTTTCAAAGTCTCTTCGTTAACTTTCAAACAGAATATTTTATTTTTGTTGTAAAGTTGATTTCTAAAACCTGAATTGATTACTAATATAAATAAATGCGGAAACTTCGGATTTTATCCGAGAGTTATGTGTACTGCAAAAAGTATATATGGAGATATCAGTATTTTTGCAATAACTCGACAATGGCTCAACTTCGGACTCCACCGAGATCTTGATGACAGTGAATTGTGTAGAAAATTTCATCAAAATCTGTCTCTCCTTTCGAAAGTTACCGTGCATACGGTCAACGTGACTTGTATTTATGTACATGTATACAGAAGATATCCAATAGCAAACTCAATCATGTAAATGAACCCTATACAACTCTTGTCTGATTTTATATTTTTTGCTATGATTATAATAAGCAAACTAGTTATATTGAAGTAGGGATGATTTAATCTTTTATATAATTAGAGAAGATTTTTTTATGTATCGTTTTATTTTTTTACTCTCTTTTCTTCATGCTTTCATATTGAATATTGTATCATGTTTTATCTTATTTCTATTACTTATGTTCTTTTTTATGTTCACCTTGTTACTGTTACATGATCAAAAACCAGATTATATCAATAAACTAAAAACTAATACAAATGTTGTCGTATATGAAATATACCAATAGAGTATTCGTAAAATTAGAAACGAGTAGTTTCTTATCGTACTTAAATACTCGGTAGTTTTACATAAGTATTCGCTAGTAGTACTCGAACACTTAATGTGTATGACAGATACAACATATTAGCACTCAAACATCATAAGTACTCATGAGTTCTTGTGACATTTTCTAGCGTAAGTACTTTTTGAGTACTTCGATATGAGTTCTTTCACTAGGGGAAGATCTTCTTAAATTATTAATGTCATCGTCAGATTTTCTTTTTGATATCTATTTCTTCCTATTGATATGGCATATGTCTTCTTCAAGGTATAAGCTTTCTTATGAGCTGTAGGCGAATGTGGAGTCAGTATCTTCTATTCTCAAATCATTACGTCTGAAATATAATAAGTTTTCACTAGATTATCACCTTATCTTTTACAACCGTTGATAAAACTTTGCTTTGTGTCGTATATATCTAGATTTACAGGAAATTTCAAATATTATCGCGGAATAAATCATTATTTCAATCAACAATATAATTAAAGAGAAATTTCGAACGTACTACCAACATAATCCTTGATACATCGCAGATTACAATTTCAAACCTGTAATCTTATCTTATTTTTTTGTTTTACTTTACATCAGATATCAAAAGATTAAAATTAATAATCTTTTTTTCAGCATTTCTGTTTCAAGCATATGACAAAAGAAAATTACATTTTCTTTCTATTTGACTTACTTTACTGTTGGTGACAGATAAAAAATCTTCATCATCAAATAATAAACCATCCCTTAGATTAATTAAACGTTGGAAATTTCAAAGTAAGGTAGTTTTTTCATTAAGTTTTCTCTAATTCTGGATTATAATATAACAGGAAAAGTATGACATATTCTTAACTGTCGATTATTTATCAGAATTAAGATTAAAACTTGTTTACTGTGTTTTTGTGATAGTTTTGTAACATGTATTATCATTCAAGATGATTTTAACTATCGAAGTTTGAGATATTTTTCTTCAGAAAACCAAAACTTGAATGAATTAAATCTTTCTCATGAGTAATACTTCATCCTCTCTTTCTTTAGATACGATGGGTACTACAGTTTCATCTTTCCCAATAAATTTTGCTTTGTTAAATCAAATTATTAATCGTTATATTTCCATTGTTCTTCTATTTTTTGGTATAATTGGAAATATATTAAATATATTAGTATTTACACGTAAAATATTTCGTAACAATATTTGTGTTACCTATTTTCTGGCATCAGCTATTTTTGATTTTCTTTTTATTATAATTGGACTTATTCCTCGGACATTAAATGGATTTAATGTCGATCCAACACAAAATTCAGCTATTATTTGTAAACTGAAATTTTTCATAATATATCTTTCAGGATATACAGCTGCATGGTTTATTGGTTTCGCCTCCATTGAACGATATCTTACTTCATCAACAGACGTCAACACACGTCAACTAATTACAATGAAGCGTGCTCATCTCTCTATGGTCTTCATTATTTTGTTCGGATTTTTGGCATTTGGTGAACAATTTTATTGTATTGATATTAACCAAAACTTTTTAGGGTCATCACAATCATGTTTTCAATTAAGATTAAATATTCAATGTCAAATTGTTGATAGTCTAATGCAATTTTTATTCCAAATCTTAGCACCAGCACTAATGATGATTGTATTTGGATCGTTAACATTACGAAATATTCGTCGAAAACATCGTCGTATCAACGTAATACAAACAGCTAATAGACCTTCATCGATGGCCACAATTACAAACGCAATCCCTATTCCTATACCACAGCAGCCAATAAACAATACAAACGGTCAAAATAAACAACCATCTTCCAAAGAAGTTAATCGAGTGACACAAAAACGTGAAGCACAATTAAGTTTAATATTATTCATACAAGTAAGTTCTACAGATAAAAAATATTTCGTTATCTAACTGTTTATTTGTATAGATTGCTGTCTTCGTTATTTCTTCGTTTCCCTTAGGTGTGTATAAACTTTATTCCGTGGCAACTATTTATGACACAAAATCTGTTCTACGTGTAGCCATTGAAAATACACTATTTAATATATTTGTAATATGTGCATATCTTAATAATGCTATCAAGTTTTATATTTATACTTTATGTGGTACCGTATTTCGACAAGAATTAATGAAATCATTTGTTTTTGCTAAAATAACACGTTTATTAAACAGATAGTATGATTAATGACCGAACAAATCTTTAATTTAAAAAAAACTATCGAAATGATCGAATGACTTTGCAAAAACTGGTATAATACTGTATGCATACTAAGATTAAATTAAATATTGTATAAAAAATGATTTTTTCATGGTAAAATAAAATAAGTTGTCATGAAGTGATATACAAAATTGAAATAAAGTAGAATAATAAATATTTTTGCAATAACTCGAGAATGGCTCAACTTCGGACTCCACCGAGATCTTAATGAGACTGAATTGTGTAGAAAATTTCATCAAAATCTATCTCTCCTTTCGAAAGTTATCGTGTATACGGCCGGTCGGATGGACACATTGACCGATTCTAGAATGTACCCACTTTTTGAGTACACAAAAAGCAAAGTTATCAATATTTGTATTTATCAAATTCTTATTTTTCTATTGATTTAACTTGAATAGATTAGTTTATGTATATTTGATTACAATCAATTGAATGAATAAAATTCTAACACGTTTTGTTTCAAAATTATTTAACTAATATTGCTGTCATACTTCAGATTTTTCTAAAAAAAGTTCTGTAAGTTAAATGAATCATTAGAATACTATATATAGCTTTTTTTCACAGAAACGAAATAGATGGATATTGTAAGAAGCAATTACATCTGCAAGTCTATTGACTGACTAAACAATACACAAATATAAATATATATATAGAACTACAGAACGAGAAAAGGACATGGTCAGCGATAGTGAACGGCATCTATGACAAATTCTTGCTTATACTCATCATACTTTCTTATTGGAAGCCATTTTAATCATCGAAACATCTATATGAAGCCAACACAAAAAATAAAAATCGTTTTTTCATTCTGCATATTCTTTGTCTTTAAATGTATGTAAAACAAAATAATTTTTTTCTACTTTTCTTGTTTTTTTTACATATGACAGAACGATAAAAGTATTTCGAACAAGTTACTGTTTTAGTCAGTAAAAAAAGAAAAAATTTAATTATGATATTAATCTATCATTTTTTTTTGTATTTAGTATATAAAACATGCCAAGTCCAGTTGTTCATATTAGTTTTGCACTAGGATTTGGAACATTTATTATGACATTGACGAAAGGATCTTTTACAGCTATTCATTGTCTTATATTATCTTTAAATGCATTTTTTGGACCTGATATTGGAACTTTTCTAGGTTGGTGCTTATCAATTACATTTCCTGCATTGGCTGATCAAGCTATGGCATGGATTCATGATAGTATTGGATATATTATAATAATTGCACCTATTCAAGCTATTTTATGTTCGAAATTATCGAAAAAATTTATTGATTGGAAATATTCAAGATCTTTTAATAATGATTTAGATGATGTTAATATAGAACAAATAAATAAAAATTTAATATCTTTAAATATAAAAGATTGTTATTTATTAGCAGTTGCTGGTTGTATATTACATTTTCAATTAGATCATATATTCGAAGAAAATGGTCAAAATAAACTTTATCTATGGATTTTATCAACTGGATATTTTACAAAACCAACACCTCCATTTTTACCTTTATCTGTTATTTTTGTTGGTGTATGTACATGTACATTATTTTTTGGATTTGCTTGGATTCATTTATTTTCATCTACAATTTCAAAACAAACTTTGACAATTAAATTAAAATATACATTCAGTTTATTTTTAGCTATTTTTAGTATATATATTAGTTATTTATTTATATCACAAATTATTCTTGGAAAAAAAGCTGTTATTGGAGAAGAAGCAGATTTAGGTGTATTAACTTTTATCATTATATTTCATTTTTTACCTTTTATTTTATGTCTACTTTCGATACATAACTAAAATTATACTATTCTTTTTTTTATATAGTCAGATTGAATAATTCTATTTTTAAATAATTAGAATAAAAATTTATAAGAAAATGAATAAATTTTTTTTAATTGTAAAACAAATATGAAAATGTTTAGATTGAATAGACGGCATCAGCTATATATATATACTTCCTTCTTTTCTTTTATGATAATCAATGACATCATTTGAATAAAAAGTTGGTGACATACTATTTGATGATTATCATTCAACAATAGAAGCAAAGAAATATTAGAGCAGATTTTTGTCGTGCTGTCGCTCATTTTTTTTCTTCGGAATAAAAAGAAAAACATTCATTTCCTATCAAGAAATACTTACTATCGTAGAAAGAAATCAATGGAGAAAATGTCGTAGAACAAAGTACGATCATCGGTCTCATATAAAAGTAAAATAAGTCTTTTTTTTTGCTTCTAGTAGATATATTAAGTATAAAATATTTTAGCACGGTAAAGAAAGTTTCTATGAGAATTTAATATATTTTAAAGATAAAATAAATCATGTCTTCACCTTATTATATATCATCAAATCCAATTCCATATCAAATTCTTTGTCATTTATCTTCAACAATTATTGAAAAATTAAACATTGGATTAAATTTTATTGATATTCCAGCTTCATATGAACAAACCAAACATCGATCACAAATAATTCGTCTTATTATTTATCAAAATCAAGATAAAACTTTAATTATTTGTCGAAATTTATGTCGTCATGCTGGAGGAAATTTTGTTCATGATATTGAAGATTTACCTGAAATAGTTCGATGTACATATCATGGATGGAAATTAAATGTTAAAACATTAGAATATACTAAACCAGCTGATTGTCTTAAACAAAAACAATTAACAATTGATAAAAAAGATAATGGTGAATTAATCATATTAGAACCATTATTATATGAACCATGGACAATAGATTCGGAAGAAAAAAAACAAGATTTAAAGCCTAATGAATTAACAATAAGTTATATAAATCATAGTTGTATAGAAATACAAGCTGACAGTATGAGATTAATAATTGATCCTTGGTTAATAGGTCCTTGTTATGATCGTAGTTGGTGGTTATTACATGAAATTAATGAAAATTGTTTCAATAGAATTGCAAATGCTAATGGAATTTTTATATCAAAATATTCATCTGATCATTTAAATATACCAACATTAGAACGTATTGTTAATATAAATCCAAATATATGTATTTATATACCAAAAATAATGACAAATTCATTTAAAAATATAATTAAAAAATTAGGATTTATTAATATAGTAGAAATTTCATTTGGTATTTGGCAAACATTTGAAATCAATCAATCACGTTTTATGATATTACCTGATCATAAACATCCTTATCATGATACTGTATTTTTATTTGAATATAAAGGATATCGAATATTAAATTTAATTGATTGTGTAAGTCCTAATGGAGAATATTTACCTTATGCTGTTGATGTTTTATTAACAAATTTTACTTCAAATAGAAATGCATTTCCTTCTTGTTTTATTGATCAATTTGAAGAAGAAAAAATATTGGAAATAGCGAAAACAAAAGATGAAAATTTTATTAAAAAATTAATTAAATTTATTCAATTAAGTAATCCAGCATTATGGATTCCTATTGGAGGATATTTTATAGAAAAAGGACCTGATGATGATCAAATTCTTCGTTTTAATTGGAAAAATAATCCTTCAAATGTTGCTGATAGACTAAAATCACGTTTTCCATTTCTAAAAACATGGTGTCCTTTTCCAGAAGGAACATATGATGTTGGTACTAAAATTGCAGATGAACCATCGAAACCTCTAGATAATTACTTGAAAAAATCATGGGATTTTCAATCTTATATCTATCAATTAGATCAAAGTATGATGTTTGAACCATTAAAAACAATCGAAGGAATTCAACAATATTTTCAATGGACATTATTTAATAATTATGATCTTATTTTACATATTATCGAAACTACGAATGATTTCTCTCAAATTATTCGTCAATATTATATTGATTTTCTTAATAAAAATCCAGTATATCCTGATTGTATTCCTGATAATCGTCCATATCTTCGTATTCGTATTCGTGCATCAGTATTACGTCATTTATTTATTTATGGTTCTTCTTGGAATGAAATGTTTAATGGGTTTAGTGCACGATATTTTGCTAAACCAAATATATATCATAAAATATTTTGGAATTATTTTAAATACAATTTACCACTTGATCCTCCTCAATGGAATCATTCTAATAAAGACATTCCAATTGATTTATTACAAACTTTCGAACAATGTGATATAAATAGCAAAACAATCGATTAATTATAATAGAAGACAAAATTTTAAGACATCATTTTATTTTGTTCTCTACTGTATAACAACATTAAATTAGTTACTATGTACAAATAAGAAATAAAATTAGGAATATATAGAGTAAGAGAAAAATTCTTATGATTATAAAAATAACATTCTTTCAACTAAAAACATAAACAAAATCAATTACTTTTCATTTCATTTTTTTCTTCTTTCTCTCGTCACTTCTACGCATACAAAAAGATATAGTCTTTTCAGTTGTGATGGTTACTATATAGTCATAGAAAAAGAATTATTATAATAGTGTAGATGTATTTTGTTTTCTTTTGAATTATGCAAAATATTTTTTTGTAGTTGAAGAAAAGATGTTACTTTTGATGATCTTTATTATTATTCACACATCAGTAATCAATCATATAGTTTATTCATTCAAGTTTATTTTCTTCAAAGATTCTTTTTATATAATAAAGCGAAGACATTATTGTAATGTTATTAGTTCATAAATATTATTTATGGTTCAGGATGAGGTACACTAAGAGCTTGTTGTCGATAAGGATATCTGCTCTTGGAAGCGGCTGGTCCCCATTCACTGGTATGTTGGGCATATGTTGACGGTGGAGATTGAGATTGCATTTCATTCAATGTTGTTCGTCGTTTTGGATTACCAGAAGAAGATCTATATTGTGATGGTCCTCTATAATGATCTTGATAGGTTGTTATAGGAGCTTTTGAATTAAATGTGCGACCAGCTGTATGTGGTCGAGCTTCAGTAAAATTAGTATAATCATCGTAAGAATACTCAGGATTTTGCTGATTATCGAAAGAAGAAGATGTATATGATGAACATGTATTATTTGGATAATTTTGTTGGGTAGTATAATAAGTTGGATATGTTTGTTGTCGTTTAATATCTCCAATATCATTTCTAAGTTCACTTAATTCACGACGAATAGCTGCAGTTTCTGATAATACACCACCATTTCCATGACATCCTGATAATACTACATGTTCTGGATTATAATATGATACTGATGAATAAAGAGGATGGCAGCCATACGATGGTACTGATGAACAAGGGCGATGGCAGCGATACACTGGTACTGATGGACAAGGATGATGGCAACCATACGACGTTACTGACGAATAAGGACGACTGCAGCCGTACGATGGTACTGGTTCAGTTATTTGAATGTCAAATCTCTCCGGTAGATCCATAGAATAGTCTAAGAGTATAGGAAAATAAAACTTAGATAAAATTTTGTAGACACTGCCTTTACTTACTTAAAAATGACGAAAATAATGGTGTCTAATAAGATATGTGAGTATTTATTCTGAAAATGGTACTTTAATAAGGTAAAAAAATCTTCTCATTCTTCAATCAACAACAATTTGAAGTTCGATTTTTTTTATTTTAAAACGTTACCGAGGAAATCAGAGAGAATGGCAAAAAAAAAGAGGTAATTTTGATTCAATATTGACGTCGTTTGCTTGTTCTCTTACTAGTAATGTAATATATTGAGTCAACGCATATGTTTCACACCCGCAAACAACATAAGAATGTTGATAGTTGACAAAGAAGAAATGTGTAAAAACAATAGATTACCACAAAGATTTGTCGTCTTCAACATCAAAGAAATAACATAGGAAAGAGAGAAACAAACAATTGTTTGAATAGAAAGATGGAGCAGTTATACATGAAAGAACAAATATAAAATTGATCATACATATTCATTTTATCAAAGCTTCAAATCTTGACACATCGTATTTTAACCTTGACTTAAACAAAAAAATATTGAATTGATAATCTGATGTCAAAATTGTAAATAGAAATTCATTTGGGTCTTAGTAAAAAATATTTAGTGAAGATAATGTTTTTATTCTTATATTTTTTTATCTTGCTTGATAAACTGATAATAAATTTCAAAAGAAAACATACACCTTCATATCATTTATACTTAATATCAGACAACGTAAAAAAATAAAATGGTCGTACCTCAACTAAAATTCTTTCGAGCTCTTTGGGGTGCTGAAGCTCAATTTTCAACTGATATCAATGTTCTTTTTGCTGAAATACATCGTCTAGGTTATACAGGTGTTGAAGCTACACTTAGTGATATTCATCGTATTTCAAAAAATGATCCAGATACTTTCAGTCGAGCATTACAAAATAATCAATTAGAATTTATTGGTCTTGCTCAAACAAATTATCCAAGCATTAAAGATGGTACATGGCATGATTTATCAATCGATGAACACGTAGCTAATCTAGAGATTCATCTTAAAGAATTTATGGAATATAAACCAATACATATCAATATACAAGGTGGGCAAGATTCATGGTCAATTGAAGAAAATGAACAATTTTTTGAAAAAGCATTGGAAGTACAAGCAAAGTACCTGCAAGTAACATCGTCACATGAAGTCAGTACTATATTTTTCCTACATATTTACTTTTTTTTCTACAAAATCATATTTTATAGACACATCGAACTCGTGTACTTTACAATCCATTTACTACTGCTCATTTTGTCAAACGTTTTCCAACTCTTCGTTTAACAGCCGATTATTCACATTTTATTCTTGTCTGTGAACGTTTATTACAACATTCTACAGATGATGAACGCTTTCGTTTATTTGCTTCACGAGTTGATCATCTTCATGCGCGTGTCGGCACTGCTCAACATGCACAAATCAATGATCATTTGGAAGCAAAAGAAGAATGTGAACAAATGCAAAAATGGTGGGAAATGATATGGGATGCACAAAAGAATAGAACATGGATAACAGTTACTCCTGAGTATGGACCAGCTCCTTATGCTATGACAAATGAAATTAATGTATGGGACTTGACCAATCGAGAGATGGAACGACAAAAGGAAAACTATCAAAAATGGTCAAACAATATTCATTAATGATAAACGAACATTTGAATTAAATGACTCGCGTCTTTTATTTCATTTTTAAAAATCTTATAAAAAAAATTATAGAAACGTATTCTTTTTTTCTTTGATTGAAATAATATTCTTCATTTCTAAATGAATCAAGGGTGACGGAGCTTATGAGGCTCAGAGGCTTGAGCCTCGCTTAATTTTAAACTTGACACGCCACGATAATCCATAGTTTTCATGCCACTTATTCACTTGTCGCCGCTACTGTCCTTTCACAGACACAGAAAGTATACTTTTCTTTGATGTGTGCTGTTCGTAGTGGTTGTCTTGACATCGTATTGACATGATTGCAGTCAGATATCAGTTACGCTTCGATTTCACAAGAGAGAATAATAGATTGAGATTGTGAATATTTAGAAGTGTTAGGTAGTCGTATTTATTCCTCGTTGCACTGCCTTTGTGATTCTCTTTCCTTCGTATGACATATACTCGTTTGAATAGAGTATTTCTGACTCACATTCACAAGGAGAAGATGGATTCTATCGGCTTAACCAATATTTTTTCTGCGTTTGCACTAAGAAACGAACAGAGAAAACGGTTCTTTGATTCTTTTTAGTCATAACCATATTTTATTCAGTGATCGCTGTGATTTATTAAACTTAATAAAACAGCTTTTTTTTGATGCTGCAGCTCTAATAAAATTTTCACCGCCGCAGTTCAACGGATGACAAGAAGAAAATACTATGAGCCTCACCTACATTCAAGACGCTCCGCCGCCTATGGTATAAATATTGTTTATATGACTATATCAATTTGTTGTAATCTTTTAATTTCATAAGTGATATTCATAATTATAAAAGAATATTATTCATAAATATATTGTCTAGATGTATAATATCTAATTTGAAAATTAAGTTTTATAGCCGCTAATAATATTTTAATTATATTTTCTATTACTGTCTTTAATAAATTTATATAAAAAAATGACGTTATAGAGTGAAACAGACCAATTCATCTACAGCGTTGTCTACTGATAGTAAACAGACATTTCCGATATACAAAATGCAAAACTTGAGAAAGACGAAGAGAAAATAAAAGAAGAAAGTAAAAAATACTATTCTCGTCTTTTCTGCAAAAAAAAATCAGGGGATGAAACAAACATTTGTTCATTCTGTGTAGAATGTAAGGGTATTAGCACGTCGCATCAATAATATTTTCATTTTTCTATATAAACAAGTCGTGCTTTTTTTCCTAGCTATCATATCATTTCTTTAGAGTGCAAATAAAAATGTTAACTACAAATACAACGTCAAATCTTCCATTGACAATTAAAACTCAGCCATTAATAAAAAAACAAAATTTATCAGAGTGTCGAATATGTGGCGCTCCTGCGCAATACGCAAATTTTGGCGCTATTTCATGTAGTTCATGTAAAATGTTTTTTAAACGAAATGCTAATATTGAACAAGTTAGTTTTGATTAGTTTTTTTCTAACTTTTAAAATAAGAATTATTCGTATGATTTAGAAAACATTTAAATGTAATTTTGGTGGCAATTGTGAGATAAAACGAGATAATCATCATATGTGTACATCATGTCGACTTAAGAAATGTTTTCAATATGGAATGTCTACTGACAAATTTCGACCACCAAGACCGAATAAATCAAAAACAAAATCATTAGTTAAAGTAGAATCACGATATCAATCAGAAAAAGTAAAATAGTATAAATGTACGAAATATTTTTCTTATTTATATTTTTAGTTATCAATATTAAACTCTTTAGAACCAGATCATTCATTATTGACTACTAGTCAATGGACACTTCTCTCAAATTTATATAATACTTTTGACGAATCTCAACTTTTAATACTTGGTAAATCTTTAGTAGATACACATAATTCTTTACAGCCAATAAATGTGACATATCAAAAACTTGTAGAAAATTATTTATTATCTATTTATGAAGCAACAGGAAGATATCTTCGTTTGAATGATGATATTTGTAAATTATCATTTAATGATCGTTCCGTTTTACTTCGTAATGCTGCAGATAATGTATCTTGCATGGCTGGTGCATTTATTGCACATCATTTTGGTTTATTTAGTTTAGATTCTTTTTTGAAAATTATGGCTGCAATGTTTGACAAGCGTGGAATCTCTCTTACTCTATGGACAATGAAATTTATTAATCCAGATATTATAATATATAAAATAGCACTTTCATTATTTGCTTTATCAAAAACTATTTATTTATATTCTCCAGATATTTCAATAGATTCAACAAATTCTTCTACACTATTTCATATTCAAAATAAATATGCAGAAGTTACATGGAAATATCTTAATTATAGATATGGTTGGTATGAAGCTGTTAAACATTTTCATAATATCATATACTGGCTTGTAGCTTTGACTACGTCTATAACCCATATACAAACTTTTAGTACTCATGTTTATAATATTGATTCACTTGTTGAACTAACTGAACTTACACTTATATTAGATGATGTTGAGGAAATAATCGAAACAAAATAGATGTTAAAGATTTTTATGTTGTATGTGCTTATTGTTTGTCTTATAGTTGAATCTCTAATATATACAAGCAGAAATAAACTCAAAATACATTTACGTGTATATGTACTACAATTTTCATTTCATTATTACACTCAAACAGATTTTGACTGTTTTAGTTGAAAAGTCATTGTTCTAATAGAATTGAGCCAGATAATACTCCGACTCGTATGTATAAAGGAGTGTTCTCAAATGACAAATGCTATGTTAATATGTTCATTGATGGAAGGTCACGAAAAAGCTAATAGTTGAACTTACCTATTGATATGTTACATGCATACAAATTACTAACAGTCATATTGATTCATATCGATAATATTGTTAAAAAAAGTTCATTTGGTTCGATTACAATTTAGCCTAATGAATTCGCCATATGCAAAGAAAATGTTCAAAAATCAAATAGAAACCGATGTAAATAAATATGAATTCCGACTTACTCTCAAAAGTATGAGTATGACTATAAAAACTATTTGTCATTCTTTTGTGATATTTCCTATAATAGAAAAAAAAAATAAGAGTTGTATAAGATGTTTACTCCAACTAAATTTCAAAATTTTAGTTACGCTTTTTGTAGATTATTAGTTTTACATCGTTGAACTAAGCATAGAAGATCTATATTATCAAATAAGGGTGTGGGTGGATAAATGGCCTTTCATCACGCACCTTCACACCCAAATCCATTCGCCCACACCCTCACCCTACATTGGGTAAAAAATCTATACAAGGACAAGCGGATAATAAATAAATTGCAGCATCGAAAGGTTTCCACTCAGTGAGAGGAACTGCTTTTCAATATCCTCAATACATTGTTTATCGTTTTGGTCAAACTTTGCTATATCTCAGAATTATTCACAAATTTTAAATGGATCGGTGAGAGTAAGTTTATTCTTCATCGTCGTCGTCGTCCTCCTCCTCTTCCTCATCATCATCATCAGTAAGAGGCCAAGTCCAACAGAGATTAATATTTGGACAATGTTTAATAAACTCATTTTGAAATTCTCTATCTTCATATCTTTCAACACCTTGCCATGTATTATCATCATATATTCCTACAGTACGTAAATATTTCATCTGTAAAAGTTCTTTATCACCATTATTTTTAAATAAATAATCATTAAAATTTTCCCAAACATTATAATGATTAATATCTAATTCATTTAAATTTGGAAATATCGATAATAATTGTTTTAAATCATAACAATTTCCCATAAATGCAAATCTTTTAATATTTGATAAACATAAATTATCTGGAAAAGAAATTTATTCGATATATTAGATAAAAGAAATACTTTTAACATACTTGTATCAATTGTTAAATTAAGCGTATTTGGTGGCCATACGTCGTCTCTTATTATAATACGTAAATTAATTACTTTCTTAAAATAAGTTTGAACAAATTTTAATAAAGAAACTAAATTATTATTATTTCTATTTATTTCAATGTCAATCGATCGAATATTATGAAATAAATCTGATGATATTGATATTGTTGTGTTTAAAGATATTTCTGTAAGAATTGGTTGAAAATGTGAATAAGGATATGGTAAAGAAAAGATATAAGAATTTTCATAAGAACCAACCATACGATTCTTATCTTTAAACCGAGAATCTGTTTGAAAATTTGAAATAATATCATTAAGTTGATTAGTTTTAAAACAAAATTGAAACGATTGAAGATTAATTAAATATTTTAATATTATTTCATAAAGAATATTTCTATCTAAATTTTCCCAATTCAAACATAAATTTAATGATAAAAATTTTAAAGATTGACAATCTTTAAGAAATGAATTAATGGTTAATAAATAACTTTCAAATTTTGTATTTATCAATGTAAATTCTTCTAAATATAATAATTTGACATTTGATTTTCCTTCTCTTAAATGAGCATCTAATTGACATTTAAATATTTTTATATTTGGTATATAATTAAAAAGAAGAAACAAATCATTATCATCTGTTAAATAAATTTCCATTTTTACTAAATTAAATGTTGGAGAGAATTTTGAGATTATATCTTTAGTTAATGATGAACATCGAACATGAATTAAATATTCTTTTATTAAAGAATCTTTATGAAAAACAGGAAAATGAAAATCATCTGGAATTTTATAATCATATCCATTAGCCTAATTAAATTAAAAATATGTATTGAAAATTAGGGATGTAACAATACCAATTAGAGTTAGAATCGGACGGATTTCTTCCATCTTCAGGGTGTGGTTGTGGGTGGGTGTGGGTGGGTGTGGGTGTGGGTGTGGGTGTGGGTGTGGTTGTAGGTGTAAGTAAAGAAAAGATACACCCACGTCACACCTACCCTCACCCACACCCACCCTTACTCACACCCACTCCAGACCCACCCACACCCGTCCTCAAGATGGTATTGAATGATACTATATTTGAGGGGGTCACCGAAGGTAAGAATATGAGTGTTGATGTGCCGATTTTTTTTCTTTTAATAATCCCCTCGGATATACTGTCATTCGATAGAGAATTGAATTCTGAATCTAACACAACCATTTTTAGAGGCAATACAAGTCGTAGAGTGAATCCGGACAAGGAATACTTAAATATCAATACCGTATTGGTATTGTTACATTCCTATTGCGGATTTCAAAAAATAATAATTTACCCATGGATTTAGCCAAAGATCAGTTCGATTTGTTTGCAATTCTAATGTTTCGAGATATTTAAATTGAGAATTTAATGTAATAAATTTTTTAGCAAATTTTGAATCAATATTTGAAATGATTAAATGTTTTAATACAGGAAATTCTTGAAGTAGATTATTATTATCAAATATAAATTGATCGATTTTTAATGAAATTATATCTTTATTGATTAATTTATGAATTTCTTGAAAATGTTGTTTATCATTGGGTAAAAGATTACATAGATTAATATTTTGTTTATATTTATGAATTAAATAAGTAAAACGAGAATTAAGATTTGAAAAAGAATAAAGAATATCAATTGGTTTTAAATAATTAAATATTATTATGATTAATTCATTTGGTAATGTTGTAAATATTGAAACTAAAAATAGAACTTTTTTTTTGAAAGTTATTTTCAAATTTTAATAAAAATAGTTACTTTTAGATAAATTAACAGTCTTATGTTTTGATGGAAAAATATCTTCATTAATATTTCGCTTTGCTGACGATGACATGTGTTGATTTCAAGATAGAATCTAGAGAAAAAGAAGTGATGTTTGTTTCTTCCAAAGAGAAATATGTACGTTGTAATGAATATGTAAGTGCGTAAAAAGAAAGAAAAAGAAAAACATAATTATACTATACATTCTGTCTCAATCACGATATTTTTCTTTTTCAAAATTATGAAAGAAAAAAAAGAGAACAAATATGTTACTGTCAATATATACAAAAATAAACTGCATAACAATATTAAATCGTTTTTTTAGTTGATCTAAAAATTTATTCAATATTTAGTGTTTTATCATAAATGAATTTTATTTATTGAAATATTTTCTTAAAAATTAGATAATTGATTAAATGGATATGTAATAATTGAATGAGTATTATCAATTTTTATTCAAAATAAATATATTACTAAACGAATGATGGGTGTGTGTGTGTGTGTATGGGTATGAAGGTGGGTTATGAAAGACCTTTACCCACCCACACCCTCAAGAATCATAAGCGTTTCTAAGTGTTCGTCTATTACATCATGGATTGATCATTATGATGGTTATACTATATGTATTGTCTGATGGCTGCCGTATATGAACTTGTAATACACTAATATCAGAATATCTCAGAAAGTAACAATTAATCAAATTTAAAATTTTCATGTAATGATGAAATCTTTTGTTCGTTAATTTCGTTAGATGATGATGAAAAAAGAATTAAAATGATTTGAATGAATCGAAAAAAAAATATTAATGAAAGTCGAATGTTAATCGAATACAGTTAGAAGAAGTATGAAACATGTGGTAGATGTTTTCATTCTGTTCTTTGTACTTTTACCGTCTTTTTTTCTTTCTATAGTGAAGAATTAAGAACAAAAGAAAAAAAAATCGATATTTAATTTTTTTTAACAATTTATATTTTTCTTACGATAAAATGTGTTAATGCTGATGGTAAAAAAAGGTAAAATGATCGTTATTTGTAGAGGAAAGTCTTTTCATTTTAGTTTACAACTTTTAAAATCCTATTACATATATATATTGCTGAATGAATGAAAAAATTATCCTTATTTTATAAAATAAGTAAATTCACTTTTTTTCGTATAGATCAGCTATGCGAATTGATGCATACGAGATGTTTTGTTCAATTTTTTTTTAATTTTGATCATTGTAGAAATATATGTGAATATAAATACTTATCGAACGAATATCTCACTAATATATTTTTTTTCATCGTTGTGATTTTTCTTATTATGTATTAGAAGACAATTCGAAAGCTAAGGGTTTAAGCTTTTGACTTCGAAAATTTTTTTAAATGAAAATCGGTGATCGCTCATATATTTTATTGAGGGTTACGATATGTAAATGGATAAAAAACGATTGAATGAATAGAATTAAAGTCATATTAATATTAGTTTTGAGTTTTATTTTCATTGTTGCCCGAAGATGGAAAACTAATAGATAATAATCATAAATCTCTGTTAACAATTTATTTTATCTAATCATTTATTAGACATGGTTGGAATTCATAATCGGAAAATTTTCTAACCATTGAAAAAGATACTAGTAAGATTATCTTTTACAGTATAGAATCCTAATAAACTTGTTAAAAAGAAAAAAATTATTGGCTTAATTATATCAATATCATATTGTAGATATAATGTTTCGATCAATCTTTATTCGAATAAAGAAACGGCAAGTAGATTATCTATGAGATTGAAATAAATTTTTAATAATATTCTATTTATTTAGCACGATTATTTTAATCATTATTTCTACCATATTAATTGGTATGTTAGAGATTAACTTTAGTTGTAATAAAAAAATTGAAGAAAATATAATACCTGTATTACAAACAACCGTTCCAATTTCAACTAATATTTCAACATTAAAACCAAGTAAATGGAAACAAAATCAACTTGTTGTTATACCATCTATATGGAAAGAAATTGATTGGTTTAATCGTTCAAGTTGGCCTCTTTGGTTACGTGAAGGACTTAATTTAACTAATAATTCATTACCATCATATCATGTTCATTTATATCAACGTATTGATCCAAATTCTACATATCCATATGATTGGCCATATTGTCCTAATGTACATGAAGAAGCTGGTCTTTATTTAAAATTTATCTATGAATATTATCATGATTTACCTGATAAAATGTTATTTATTCAGGGTGATGTTCATGTTCATTCACCATATCCAATTGAAACAGTTCAATGTATTCGTGATGATGTTCATTATGCAAGTATCAATTTTTTCTGGAATATTGAACGACCATGGTCATTTTGGCCACGTGATCCTACTGATAATATAGGATTAATGTATAAATGTGCTGTTCGTTTATTACATTTATTTGGTTTTAATGGCAGAGCTCAACTTAATCCAGAAGGTAAAACACCTAGAGATGATAATGTTGTTACAGCTATATGTTGTGCACAATTTTATGTAACAAAACAACGTATTCATCATTATACATATAAACAATGGGCATCACTTTATCGTGCAAGTCTACAACCATACTGTACAACTGAACTTGATCGTGAAACACCAGGAAAAAAAGGTATAAAATGGTTTGGTGGAAGTTTTGAACATCTTTGGCATGTTATTCTTGGTCTTTATGCAACGGATATGCCAGCACAAATACCCGGAACAAATACTGATCCATGTCATTTATTTTATCCGTCTTGTAAAGGATCACCATGTTCTGATAATTAATGAATTTTTATTTGTTATTTTGTTGTTAAATTTCTTGAAGACTATAGTAATAATTTATTAGGAAGATATTAAAATATTTTGTATAATCGTCTTTCATATCTTTCTGGATTCAATTGAGAATTATACTCAAAAAAAATTTATTTTAAACGGATCAATAATAAGATTATCGTAATTACTGTGAAATTTTTATTGTTCGTCTAAACGTACGTTGGCTTATTTGATTCAACATAAATAAGTTAGAAGGATTGGTTATGAATGTTTTAGTTGCATCCTCGCACTCTCAACTTATTTTATCCTATTCATATATTAATATATCATTTATTCGATATAGATTTAATTATTAGACTGATTGTCAGTCCTTGCCCTTTTTTTAAGCTCTGTCTGTAAGATGACAAAATATTTTTATTTCTTATTTTTAAACAGCAACCCAAGACGTAGATATTCAGATATATATATTCAAGCAAAAAAAATATCAAGGGAGATATACATCAAAGAGAAAGACAGAACGCGCAAGTACATTTCGATGCCCTCGAATAAACAAAGAAACGAAATGTTATCTATCGATCGAAAGAATTTGTAAAATAAATAGATAGGCTATCTCTTGTCTTTAGATATACTACAGAATCTCAGTCTAAAGGTACAAAGGTACAAGTACGAATTGCCCATTTTTTCGACAACATTTGATTTACATAAAATTATTGACGGTATTTTATGGCGATTACTTTCAAAGATATGATACTTATTGTCAAGTATGACTGGTTGACTTTTATCATAACTGATCGAATGTATATCGTTTTATGACTACATATGCAAAAAGTACCAATTTTCTTAAATCATTCGGCATTGTAATAATATTTTAGAATGAATATACTTCAATGGGCTCGAATTAATTTTCTATTTATCTAAATCAATTTATGTCCCAATATTAATAAATAATATCCCGATTATAATCATACTTTTTAAGTTTATTTTATCGGTATACAAAAACTAAAACAAGATAGTGATAAAATAGAGAGTATCTAGTTAATAAAAATTGCCATGAAATGATAAAGGTATATGCACCGGAAGATAAGCACGAGCAAGTTCTTTGAATGTAATACCATCAAGTACAATTAAAAATGATCGTTTAGCTTTTTGTTCTAATACAACTGATAATATAACACCATCATCTTCTTTACTATCTTCATCATTGGATCTTGGAACAAAAATTGGTTCACTCGGTGAGGTACATGGTTCTTCCCATACAGCTATGACTTCTTTCGTTTGAACATCTAATTTAATTATTCCATCAAATATTCGACCTGGTGGTGCTCGTACAGCATAAACATATTGATATTTTTTTCCAGTAAAATTTGGATTAATACGTGGTAATTCAAATTGAATTGGTATAAGACTATGTGCATGACTGTTAGCATGAATTCCTTTCGGTTCTCTTGCATTTGCATTTGGTTCAATACATGTATTAGCATCTAAATCTACTTCAAATCGTCGAACATAACCGGCACCGGATGGAAATATATTTTCACGTAAATTATTTAAAGTAAATTCATCAATAATTCGTGGATCATCAAATGCACAAATATCAACCGTAATTTTCTTTTTATTATTTTCACATTCATAAGAATTAATATGATGAAATTGAAAAAATGCTGGACCAGGAATATATGCAATTTGTTCACCGGTATCTAAACTAATAATACGAAAATAAGTTGGCATTGTTTCACCATTCCATTTAAACATTTGTGTTACTGAACCACCGGTAACACTATACCAAAGACCATAAAATTTATTAAAATGATATGGAATTTCCGTTAAAATTAAGTAATTTTCACTTATTGATGCTGAATGCATATAACATACATGATCACATGGAAAACGAAATGATTTTGTTGTTGCTTTAATACGACGATTATAATTTTTACCACGTTCACTTATATTATCAGTTAAATAAAGTAAATAACGACTACGAGATATTAATTCATCCATATCATCATCATTTACTTCAAAAAAAAAAAATAATTAGAATATTAGTTTCTCAATCAAAATACCTTTAGGAACTTCATCAGATATATCATCTGGTATAAAAACAATATCAAGAAAATTTCCTTTGTTTGTCATTCGATTACCATAACCAACTGTCATTTTTCGTTTATTATCATGCATAACATGAGCTGTTGCCATTGATATTATTGGAGAATCTTTTGGTCGACCATATGGTAAAGTTACAAGTGCTCCAAGATGTTCAAGTGTATCCGGATCAAGTATATTACCTGTTGTTGTTTCTGTAAGTGCTAATAATTCATTTTGTACCATTTGAACTGTAACACCTGTATCATCGGTATGTGTAGTTGAATCTCGACCAAAAAATAAATTTTGAAATCGACCAAGAATTGATTTACATGGATCTGTACCGAATTGTCGTGTTTTTAAAGAACCATTTTTAATTGATTCAGTATATGTACGTGATTTTACAAATGAACCACGAAAACCAACTGTTTGTGATGAACCATCAATATTATATTTTTGAATAAAAGCAAATCCATCAAATGCATGATTGAAAGTTGTTTTTGGATCATCATTGATTTCATGTGCTCCTGGACCATTACGATATAGATTGCCTTTTAACCATTCAGGAATATTTCCTTGAAATTTAATTATTTCTTCATCGGCACTTTCTTTTGTTGATGTAAAAAGATTATAATTATTCCATACTTGTTCTTCTGTGTCAACACTAAGTGCTGTCATTCTCTAGAAAAGAAAATATAATTCTTTTATTTTATTAAATATTTTCATTCATATGGTATTTTGTTGATATCTATAAACATAATAAAGTATAAATAAAACTATTAAAAGAATATATTTTTTACCTTTATTTTAATCGAGAAAGAATTCTTGAAATGATTACTAACTATTTTTTTTTGCTATGCTGTAAGAGCTTATATATATGCCTCGAAAGATTCGTTTTACTTTCTTATGAATTATAATAAATGTAGAAATAACTTCTAATGTCCTTAATGTTTTAAATGTTCGATACAACGTTAGATAATCAAAGTCCTAGATGAGAAAAACACGTATACAACTAGAAAATAAGTGAAGACTATAAGTAACCAATGATCAAAATTATCTATCAGATGTCGTTAGTAACAGTATGAAGATTTGAATTATTATTCTTAATACAAATCCGACATATTTATAAATCAGGGTTCTGCATGGGATGAGTCATGTCTCCCATGGGATAATAATTGTTTTTTTTTAAGAAAAATATTATTCTACATAAAGGTTACGTTTGACAGTCGGTAGACATAAGTAATATTTATTTCCAGAAATGATTGGCATATGCGATTTAATAAATTACGAGCCATTTCAAGTGTAACTTATTCTGAGTAATAATACAGTAAATGAAACTTCAAAAGAAGTCTAACGTAGTTCCTGTTTAGAAAAATAATGAAGTTTTCTTTTCTTTTACTATTTATTATTAAAATGATTAATGACACAACGACTTCATTTTGTTCCTAATAAACTTTTATTTCATTTATCATTTATGACATACGATCAACGAGAAAAGAAATCTACTCTGTCATTCTTTATTATGTTATTTTTCCTTTTATCCTCTGTACTGTCAGGACCGAATGTTCATCAATTAAACCGAAAAAACAAGAGAAAAGAAATCTACTGTAAGCTTAAAAATATTATTAAAAATCTCGTTTTCTCACTTGTCATTTATTGGGTGAGGGTATACGTCCGGATAATGAATGCGAAGAATACGCACACCCATAAAAACTGGGTGAAACTATTTCCACCCACTTCTTCTCTGGCTCTGCTCCTAACAACCTCTTCCGAGCTATTCTAACACGATACTAGAAATCTTTTTGAAAAATTATGATAGGACTTCGTGCAATCGCAAAAAAGTTGTTAAAACTTCTGAAAAGAAGGTTTTTTCTATTAATATTCAGCAGACGATATTTTTATATTATCTTGAAGGATTATTACAATTCTTTATGATAAAAAAATACAATATGAATAATGTCCACAGTTGGTTTTGTGTTTAATTGTGATTTTTGTTAATTTTTTAATATATCATATATGGAACAATAGAAAATCTTTGTACGCGATGATTATATGTATCGACGACATAGAGATGACCTTCTCGATGGAATATTAAATCACTGGGAAGAGAGAGTTGATTTGCTTCATATCCTCTTTTATTTCCACCGACTATAATCACACCTTCTCTTGTATTTGGCGACCAATACATGATTCGGTCGTTTCCGGTGTCAGCTATAAAAATATTACCTAAATGATCGATAAGAATTCCTAGAGGAAACGATAACTGTGTGAGGCTATTTCCTTCGCCATGTCCACCTGCAACAACAAGACCATCTTTTGCACCTTTCATCCATTTCATTACACGATGATTATTTGCATCGGCTACATAGACTGATAGATCTTGATCAACAGCGATACGACTAGGAGAATGTAGTTGATTTAAATTACCTCCTCTTCGATTCCCACCTGCGACAATTGTTTCACTCATATCTGTTTGTCTCCAACGGATTACTTTTTGTTTCGATTTATCAGAAACATAAATATCTCCATTCCGATCTACTGCTAGACCAGTACATGCAATATTTGTAATAATAGTCTGAATATTACTACTATTTCGAAGAGACCATCGCTTAACTCGTTCTTTTCCTAGATCACAAATGATAAGAGAATCATCGTTTTCATCAATAATTATATCAATTGGCCTATAGTATATCCCGACGTCACTTTCTCGTTGGACATCATAAGCAACAACATCAGCATAGCTTGCACCAAATTTCCATTCAGTAATACGTTGATTGGCAGTATCAGCAATATACATACTTTTCTTCTTCTTATTAATACATATACTTTCAGGATAGTTAAGTTCATTTAATTCTTTACCATACGTTACAGTACCTCCAGCAACAGTACTAGCATTCTGCTTCCATTTAGTATTGATATCAACTGGAATATAGAAAAAAATATTTTAATACATATCAATTCATTTATTTCGATACTCACTCTTGTTTTCTGTTGTTGATAGTGCATCTAATTTCCGTCTGTTTCTTCTTATAATAGTCGCTGCGGGAATCGTAATCATTAGTATGATCAAAATAACAGTAATACTTGAAAATATAATCCATATACATTTTCTGCCCCGAATACATTCATATCTATCATAAAAAAAAGCTTTTGCATAAAAATATAATAATTTCTAATGTACATACAATGTTCTTGTTTGAGTTAAGTTAGAGTTATCTGATTCAAACTAAAATTATTCATCAAAATCTAAGGATTATTTTTTATTGTTTTTCTTAATAAATTACATGAGAGACGCGTATGTTATTATCATTCATTGTTGATATTCTTAGAATTTAAAATCTATAAAAATGAGAATTGAACGTTATAAAATCAATGTTAATTTAATATTATATGAAAATTGTTCGAAAGAAATTCCATTTTGCAAAACGAACTTTTCTTTCATCAATATATGAAGAAATACGAAACTCGAAACAAAAATAAAAGTAAAATACACAATCCTAATAAGTGGAATTCTTGAAGATATATTTACAATCAAACCTTTTGCGTTATCCATCAAGAAGATTGACCACGTTCGGATCAAATGACATCTCTCATCATAAAACTAACACATTTGAAAATATTATATGTTCATAGCGGACTTGGAGAAAGTTAGTTAAATATTAAAATTTGTTAGTTTTATAATGAAAGCTTTCATTTGACTCGAACATGGCCAATCTTCTTGATGAACAATTTGTAAGAATAATGACGTGAAAATAAAAACAATAGTTGAGACTGAAATGAAATTAATTATCTTATCTGTTGATGTCATAAGACATACAAAATAGTCAATGAATATTCAAAGGTAAAAAAAAGAGTTCAAGTAAATACACAGAGGACAAATAACATAATAAGCATTAATAATAAAATTTATTATAGCATATATCCATAAATTCGAAATCAAATAAACAAGATCCAGAAAAATATTGATTACCACTAGTGAATAGATAAAACTATGACCCACAAATATTATACTCACTGAAATTTATCTGTTAAGAAGAATTTAATATTTATAACGCCATTTATTTCATGATTTGTTATATTCAAAGAAAGTGACAGGTGAGAAAAGAAATATTATTTAATGAAGATTTATTATATAAAAATAAATTTTCTTTGAATACCATTATTCAACGTCAGAACTAAATTAAAGGACTATTTCTTAATATAAAATAGAATTTATTCAATATAGAAAATAACACCATCCATATTTATTAAATTTATTCAAAGGATAAAACAACATCACTTGTTTTCTTCTTCTATAAATATTAATTACAGCATAGGGTGTAGCTGTGAGAATATCTGCAATACAAGACATCTACACTTAGCCATCTCCATTCCTTAAGATAATCTTGAAGGATCCATTAGAATCATGAATCTCCTAGATCCTGTTAAGCTTGATTCAGAATTTTGTCCAAGTTGCTACTCGAATTCTTCTGCGTTGATACTGTAGGATATTAGCAGGATTTACCTTGGATCATATTCAGGATTTTGACAAAAATTATGGAATGACTTGTGCTAAGATTTCATTAGGTTTGACTGAAGATGTTTATTAGATCTTGTTATAAAGGTGGTGGATGACTATGAGTGTAGGTTAAGGAGATAAAGGGGAGGTAGCCACAATCTTACTCAAACTCATCAACACCTACGCCCTCATCCAAATCCACCCACACCTTCTATGATTTTCATCATACAAATCTACATTGATTAGACTAAATATAATGAATATTATTTGCTTTTTTCTTTCTTTCTTTCTTTCTCTGTAATCATACTTAAGAAAAATAATTACATTTTTCTTTCTTACAAAATCTTATTACTAATTAGTTCTACCTCAAATGTTTTTAAAAAAATGATGAAACAGTGCAAAGTCATATTATACAGTATATTTCAAGTTTCTTATTTACTGAGAGGAATATCATGCTTTTCTACTTATTTAGTAATGAATATGTGAGGTAGTAAAAAATATATCATTTGAAAATAAATGTTGAAAGAGGAAATTATTTCAAAGAAGTACTACTCATTTTTCATAGAATATAATTATTAAATAAATATATTAATATTTTATAAAAATAATTACAAATGCATCGAATGATATTACAAAACTAAAATTGAGAATTAATATTGATATCTCGAAAAGTAAATTTTCCAGAACAATCACTCATACTCAGAAGAAATATCTTCAGTTTTGTTGAGGAAAACACAGAAAATAATATCTTCAACACCCATTCTAGATGGGTGTGGATGTGAATAAAAAGTAAATATAATACCCACACCCTTCGAATGGTATACAATCTGCGAAAAGAGATTTTTACTGCAACATTAATTTCCATGCATCTCTTACATTGTATTTCTATCCTTCATAAAGAAGTCAACGAAGGTATAGAGAATACATCACGTGTTTTTCTTTAGATGTTGATTGAGATATTCAACATTACTTTTGATGAAAATATTAGAGAAAAAATAAAAGAAATTTTTATCAGATTCTTTTTCCACCTTGTTGAGCATTCCATATACACATATTACAGTTTCAGTCACATAATAACTAATTATCAAAAGCGAACTGCCTATAGGATACACAAATTGAAGCAGAAATCATGTTTCACTTTCCTTTTTACCTCTACCTCCATCTTTTTTTTTTTGTCATTTTTTTCTCTTTTTTTAGAGATTTCTCATTATTTAATATTGTTTCTATTATAAAATATACGACAGTAGAACATAGATACTCGGAAAAATAGTCATCACTCGTCCCAGCACTGTACGTAAACGTTTTTTAATTTTACGTTTTGTATATATTAATTTGTCAGCTATCTATTGATTCTCAAATAACTGAACGTCAATATAACTGGAAAAGAAATAGAATTCCTTTCTTTTGAAGTCTGATTTACAGATCAGACATCGTTGCAGGAAAACTTCTCGCATCCTGTTTTGCCCCACACTGCTGAATTGATAAATTCTTCGGCAATAAATGGTCATCCTGCCATTGTATACGACCATATTTCTTTATTCTAGAAAGAAAGATAAAGTTAGCTTTGTATTTTTTCTGTGTTTAGCAATTGCTTAAACAATTACATAGCTACCATGTTACTCTTCAAAATATGGTTACTTGCAGTGAGCGTTACATCAGTTACAACTCAGCTATATCAGACTCACTTTGAACTCACACCTTTTTCAGCAATGTATTATCCACCTGACCCTGTTGACATATTGGCTAGTTACACTAACATCTCAGAATTGAAAGTATGTTTACAATATTGCAATCAGAATTCAATGTGTCGCACAGCTGATTACAGTCCATCAAATGCGAGGCGTTGTCGTCTGTTTCGCAGCTTGTCAAGTATGGGAATAATAGTACCTACAAATGCAACCCCATCTGATACAGTTGCTAATGGGATTTTGGAATCAAGTTCATATGTGGGGTATCAGCATTCTTGCGATCCGGCTTTATCATTCTTCGCAGTCTACGATCGTTATCTCGTCTGCAACACTACAATTGGGACTCTACAATGTCCAGCAACGACGTTTTGGGATGGATCAATTTGCATGAATAAAGGTTACAATGGATTCAATTGTAATTCTCCGATTATGTGCAGATCAGATTTAAATTTGAGCTGCTCGATTCCAAATGGAGAATGTAGAGTTAGTGGTAAGAGCTTTGTTTCTATCATAGGATCTGACGATTAAACCTCTTCAGGTTCTGTATAGCTTTTCAAGTGAAATTTTATCCATAATTAGAAGAGTTCCAGAAGGATGTTGAGTTCGATTGTAATTTGGTAAAGATGCCAAATTCATGAATGATGCTCTTATAGATCATAAGAGTAGGGAACGAAATGCGTGCTTATTGTTTCGAACAGAACGTTTCGTTAGTCCTCATATCAATATGGATATGGCATGCTGAGTCTTGTCAGCTAGAATATGACTTTCTAAATCTCTTTCAGATGGAAAGTGCACAATTTCAGTTCACTATATTCGGTTTGCAAAGACAATAGTGGTTTTACAATAAAATATATCGAGGGCTAGTATAGATTGTAGTGGGGTATGAGGTGAGCGATGCGGATTGCCATACAGAGCTCTGAATTCTACCACGATTTACACTGAAAAAGCGAAAGATGTTCGATGAAACCTTTTTTATGCTAAAAAGGATTTCGAATTTTGCAACGAATAAAATCTACAATAGTGCGAAGTATTCAAAATGAGCTGGTCTGACTCTTTTCGTTATCTTAGTGCCAACTGAGACAAAGTCTTAAAGATCCAGTGAAATGTAGTAACGAGAGTTTATGTCTAGATTATTATGAAGACAAAAGGAAAACTCTTGTATTTGATAGTTTGCAACAGCATATTTCTGAATGAAACGACTTACTCAACTGGTGGTAGTCCACAGTCAGTAGCCGTAGTCGACGTTAACAGCGACAACAAACCCGATATTGTTGTAGCAAACGGAGGTTCAAACAACGTCGGTATTCTTCTCAATGCAGGCAATGGTACGTTTCTTAGTCAGATTATTTACTCAACTGGTAGTAATCCACAGTCAATAGCAATAGTCGATGTCAATAGCGACAACAAATCCGATATTATTGTCGCAAACTATGGTTCGAACAACGTCGGTATTCTTCTCAATACAGGCAGTGGCACGTTCCTCAATCAAACGACTTACTCAACTGGTGGTGGTCCACAATCAGTAGTAGTAGTCGACGTCAACAACGACAACAAACCTGATATTGTTATCGCAAACGGAGGTTCAGACAACGTCGGTATTCTTCTTAACAAAGGCAATGGCACGTTTCTCAATCAAACTACTTACTCAACTGGTAGTAATCCACGCTCAGTAGCAGTAGTCGATGTCAACAACGACAACAAACCTGATATTGTTGTCGCAAACTGGGGTTCAAACGACGCCAGTGTTCTTCTCAACACAGGTATCGGCACGTTTCTGAATCAAATTATTTACACAACTGGTGGTGCTCCACAGTCAGTAGCAGTAGTTGATGTCAACAACGACAATAAACCCGATATTGTTGTCGCAAACTATGGATGGGCTACCGTCGGTGTTCTTCTCAATGCAGGCAATGGCACATTTCTTAGTCAAACTATTTACTCGACTGGCGATCATCCGGCATCAGTAGTAGTAGTCGACGTCAACAAGGACAACAAACCTGATATTGTTGTCGCAAACTGGAATTCAATCAGCGTTGGTGTCCTTCTCAATGCAGGCAATGGCACGTTTCTCAGTCAGATTGCTTACTCAACTGGCAGTTATCCAACCTCAGTAGCAGTAGTCGATGTCAACAGCGACAAACAACCCGATATTGTTGTAGCAAACGGAGGTGCGAACAACGTCAGTGTTTTCTTACACTGTTAACATTTATTCATTCACTGAACCCTATTCATTCATTTACATTTTACTACAAGCATAACAACACTACTATTGAGTCAGTACACCCTATGGACAATCAAATGTGCTTAATTGATAGCATGAATTTAGATAAAACTTTGTCAGCATCTGATCTCCATTAAAAGATTAAATTCTTGGTGATTTCACTAGGCACTACCTACTGACTAAATTTTATCGAGATTGATGGTATCAAATAAGCATGCAGTACACTTTTGAATCGTGTCTATCGTCATTTAATTCTTATATCATTAAATATTCTCGCAAAAATAAATTCTATTAATTTTTCTGAAATAAAAAGCTTTTGAAATAACTAGCATACAACTATTATCTACACATGGATGATTTGAGGAGATGAAGTTACAGAAGAAGTGATATCTATACATTCCACGATAATCATCTTGACTCTGACGAAGAGTAATCATGTAAGGAACATAATGAAACAAAAATCACAACTAGTTAGTATGATCTTAATTATTGAGCTTCACTCACGAGTGTCCGTTTTGAGTACTTCCTGTTGATTTCATTGGATAGATCTTCGAAATCGAACAGTTCTCACAGTAAAATCAAAGATCAATCGTAATATCTCATCTATAACAGATACAGTAAAACTTCACATGTATAGTCATTACTCCGACTTCTTCAAACCACCCATTTAATGTAGGTGTTCTTGTTAAAAAGGATTTTTGTAAATAATATGCATAAAAAGAAAACAAATATATGATTTATATATTGACTATGTGCCGATGAAAGAGAGGTTTGACTAAGCAGAATGGCCTAGAATTAGTGCTCACTGCTCAGAAGTGCGAGGTACCTACCTAAAGGTTGGACCGTAATGAACGGAACGAAATGTTTTCATCTTTAAACAACTTTCGAGTAGACTAGCGACTACGCTATAAGCTCATTCGATAGAGAATTTTTCTGTTCTTTGAAAACATTCACTTTTTTTTCGTAAGATTCGATAAACTCTATTAATTCATGAGTCAATACTGCCACACACAATTTCTATTCGAATTTTTTCTACACCAACTCGAATCTGTTCAAGTAAATTCTTTTACTTTGAATATAGCTTCAGTTTATTTGACTACGTAATTTATACCATATTGCGTAGTCGAGAGGTTGTGGCCGCTGTGATTTTGACTGATGTCCCAAATGCGATTTTTGTACGATGTTTATGTGTGAGAATCCATGTGTGTTAGTGCTCGATCCTGTTGATAAGTAAGTCCTTGTCCTCTTAATTCTGTACCATCTGGTAATGCTACTGGCTGTACTTGATTACTATATTCTCGGATTATTTCGAATACCATTCTGGATTGTCTAAAAACAATGATTTGTTGCTTCTACACGATTGCGTTCTTATTCAGTTCCATACTTCGTCAACGCTTACAATAACACATCGTTTCGAGTACTATTGTATAGTACAGCGCCTAATAAAAATCTATATATTCTTTAATCATGTTAATCAATTCAGTGTTACTGACGTGAGTCGACGAGAATTTCTCAAAGTTATTTTCGTTATGTGAAGAGTTTAGAATTTCAAGTGCCCAATTCACACGCAAACCTATCGATGCTCATCGATTCGAACCTAGTCGAAACTCTAATTTTATCAACCATCATCGATCGTTCAATGATTTTGTATCTGTTGATGTTATTACCTCGTTTACGACAATTGTCGATTACTTGCTAACTTGCGAAATTTCCCGAAGTAACAGAAAGTATTCATTGGAAATAAATTTGCACACTCGAAGTCACTCAGGCTGAGGATGAGGGTTAGTTTAAAATCAAATACTTCAAAGAGCAAAATCAGATGAATTCAATTTCATGTATTCACGATATAAAATATGATCTTACAAAGAATGCATCCGCAGTAGATATGCTTCAACAAGCACGACAGACTTGTCAAAGAGGATTATAAAATCAGAGCAGGAATCGAACTTACATCTTCCGATAACCGGTTGGCTATTCTACCGTTAAACTATTCAATCGTTTACGCAATTAGCCGGACATTTAATATTGATAGTATATATCATCGTGGAGCCATCCAAATCTATGTAAAAATTGTTATATCGGAATAAGGAATGTCTTATTAAGCAAATGCATGGACTCAATTTCATACACATAGTATGTAAAAATGAACATAAAGCAATCTATTTACTTATTCTTTTATTTTTATTTAGCAAATAGCTTAACTCAGTTCATTTATGAAATATGAAAGTGAATCAATCTATCTACTTAGTGGATTAAAACGAAGAAGCTTTTTTTGTGAGGGTGACACAGTCTACCTCAATACGGTAAAGTATTTTGCTTTTGCAGATAAAGATTATCAAGCGACATGTACATGTTTTTTAAAGATCAATTCGTTAATGAATTAATCTAATGCGTAGTACTAATGAAGAAATCTAATCGAAAGTAGAAATCTCATCACCTGAATGTGATGAGAATGAGTTAAGCTACGTGATCATCATCTCGTCTCTGCTATACGACTCTCCAGACGGCTTTGTTAGCAGTACTTAGGGGTGTCACTTTAACTTTAACTTTATTAGTTAAAGTGCTTAAAGTTTAAAGTTAGAACTTTAACTTTAACTGTTAAAGTTAAAGTAAAACACTTTAACTTTAAGTTTTAAAGTTAAAGTTCTAACTTTAAACTTTAAGCACTTTAACTAATAAAGTTAAAGTTAACGTGCCACCCATAATGTTCCCCTTATTCATTTTGACCGTTGTCAGATTACTTTAAAATACTTTAACTTTAAATAAAGTTAAAGTGGAAAGTGTTTTTACTTTAACTTTAACACTTAAAGTTAAAGTAAAACACTTTAACTTTAACAGTTAAAGTTAAAGTTCTAACTTTAACTTTAACTATTAAAGCAAAGTTAAAGTGACACCCCTAGCAGTACTTTTTTCGTATGATTAAGATGATCATAAACAAAGTACCAAACCTATTCCATATCAAATAACAGATAAGAAATTAGATGATAACATAGGTACCCGTATGTAAGGGATGAGCGTAGCTACCATGATCATGATTTCATCCCCACAATAAAAAAACAACACGTTCAATATCGATGATTAGATAATAAACAAGGGTAGGGGATGAAAGTGTGGGCGTGGGTGTCTGTTTGAGTACTGAATGAATGAGACAACAACATCCACTCCTTCAATTTCCATTTTTATTATTAAAAAAAAAGACTTTCATTATATTTACTCTACATTTAGTTCGTTTATTTGTAGTGCATTAAGGATCATGTTTTTACATAATTTTCATACATCATTCTTTCCTTGTCGACTAAGATAAACAAATGGACTAATCAAAGCAGTAGCCACGAGCATGAATACTAAAAAATTGATGAACATAGATCGCAGTAGTACCAAGTATGACATCGTTCTATGAACAAGAAAAATTGTGAATCATAATTGAAATAAAAAAAAGAAAAATATACTCAGGTGTTGAAACTGTAGATTCAGATTCTGAATGAACAGTTGTATTTTGATGGTTTATGGAGGTATTTGCTGCACTAGTAACTTCAATTACTAGTATTTCAGTAGTGTGTGCAAATGTGACACGATTCGATTGTTTCTTTCGATACTGATATATGGCAAATAAAATATAAATTATTTTTGGACATATCCATTTAAGAATAACACTCAGACCACCGTAGAGACCGAGTAAAAGAGTTATTGTGTATAATGAGCTGAGTTGTTGGATGTAAGTGTATGAACAAAATGTGGGTGAACATTTATCAAAGTATGCTGAATAATTCATTGTTGTTAACCATGTTTCAATGAAAAGTTCATTGACAAGATCAATTATGGTAGTATTTGGTAGAAATCGACTCGAATTTGCATAAAGAAGTTGAGTAACATATGTAGTATTTATGATAGTAATGTTTTTAATCTTTGTTTCAATTAGATTAATACAAGATGAATCATAGAAACATTCGAGAGTCGAAGAAAGAAACGATTCACTTGGCGTGCAGCCCATTTTCAAACCTTTTATTGGTATGATTTCAGATGAATTTGTTTCGAAAAAGCCAGCTTGAGTGGTGCAATTTGCATAGAATGCACATGAACAATCATTATCGTAAGTGACTGGTTCGGTGAGAGCAAGAGAGACGATTGATGTGAATGCTATGATTTTAATCAAAGAAGTTTTGTCATAATTATTCAATGTATGCTTTACATAGAAACTCAGTTTATAGAACAGTATTTTATTGAAAAAAGTTGGTAGTACAGCTCTTGTAGGATTCAAATGTCAAATAGAGTGACGTGTTTTACTAATCAGTGTAGGGTGTCGGTGCTAGACTATAAGCACATCCATATCTATCCTGTTCTTATAAAAGTTTCGCAACTAGTCTCTATCAATCTGTGCGTTGTTTTCTTATTCTCTCTCTTTCTCGACTCTATCAACTAAAAAATGTATGTCGTTATTTGAAAAATGAATTAAAAAGTTTTCTGATAATAATCAATTTATATCAGATTTATCAGCGTTGAATATGCAACAAAGTATCCTCTTCTAAATAATGTCTTCAGAATGTTTGTTCGATAAAATATTTTCTTGCAATTATTTGTCTATCAAAATACTCTTCCTACTGATGTGACTTTTCTATAGTAAAGTGTTGTTCGGTGAAACCTTTTTATATGAATATCCATCAAAGAGCATACGTACCCAAAACAAATTTCGTACCAAACCAACGAGGAAAATAATATTTGAAATTAGTTCCATACGACGATATAATCGCATTGCCATGATTTGTAGCCCGTAGTATCGAAAGAAGACGAGCAAATGCTGCAGGGGCAGCAGATTTACTCTGTTGTACCATTGAATCAATGTGTGTCTGAAAAGCTATTGGCGATTGAAGTTGAGTAGTGATATATAGTGATGAAAGTAATTGACCAATCGAATTATTAACTGATTGTATAGAAAGATTACACAATCCAGTCAAACATTGTAGATGCGCTGAGAGAAAACGACGATAATCTCTAGCATCATAAACAGAAACATCAGGAACAAGATCAGCTGTGACATTGTCGCGCCAGTGATCCGATGAGAATGGACTTGAACATACCTATCCATTCATCAAAGAGAGAGAGAGATATTTATGAAATTCTTCTAACGTTTAATATTGTACGAATTCGTTTTCAGTGTACTCTCATCTTTCGAAGGCTCCTTTCTTGATTGAAAATGTTCAGTTTTTCTACTCCACACATACTTATCAGTGCCCTTTCTGCATTGAACACATTTCGAGAACTCAAACATAGCATTTAAAACCCCTAACTTCGTGTAGTCAGTTTGAAATTTCTGTTTTGCTTAGAAACGAGGGTTCAGGTAACATTAATAGTAAACATGAGTGTGGTGATTTTTCACTTTACTTCAGCTCAGCTTATCTATTTTAAATGAAATCGCATGTTTTTCTTCTTACCTGATGAAACACTGGCTCAATTATGACATATCGATCATATATTGATGAAATAGATGAACAAGGGCATTGAAGTGTATCACTGTGATCAACCATGAGACGATTATAAGTAGTAAGTGATGGTTGATCAAAGGTTTTCGTCAGAATTTGAGGTTGAATTATGACATGTAGGATAAGAATAACATGACCGATAATAAGTAGAACAATGTATAGCCGAGTGGTTATTTGACCAAGACGTTTGCGTCTCATTCGGTCGGTGTTGATACCGAAGGTTTGTCGAGAAAACATGTTTAAATTGACTAATGCAGTGAATAGTAAATTGGTCAATTTTAGGCAAATCGTTTTCATTCGAATGAATAATTTTGGACGCACTGTAAAGAAAAAGAATAACGTTATATGTCATCTAGTCTCAATGTATGAACAATATTCCTGCTACTTCGATTGACGATTGGTCAAAAATAGATCCCAGCTTTATCTAAGCTCTATGCCACATTAAGAGAAAATTGATTTGATGAAAATCTTTGGGTTATGAAAATTTTGACGGAATTAGATAAAGACTAATGCGCTAAACCACCTTTTGAATTTTGTGATGAAATCTTTTCCTGAAGTATCATACTTGACAAAACATGTCGCTTTCAAAGGAATCGATTTTTAACTAGATGTCAATCAAAAATAGGCAAGAAAGTTTTCAGTTCAATGTAAACTGAACAAACAAAACTATCTAAATAGACTTTGGCAGATATTAACAAAAGAATATCTCATTGTGGAATTGTTGTACAGTACTACTGTTTGTATACACTTTTATTTAGAATCTTGTATTTTCAAACAAGAATTACGACTGTTTATATCGAAAGCTAGACTTATGATAAAAACTCCTCATGACTGAGCTTGCAATGACTTTGTATTAATAAGACTAAGGAACTCGATCGTATCAATAAATATCTTCTTTATAATTACCTTGCTTTTGTCGTTTCACCTTTGGTTGAAGCATACGAAAGATAAACTTAATTAATTGAAATGTAATTAAACGCAATGCAACAGTGAGACCACTGATTGTAGATACAAATGTTATTACTACTCCAACGAAAGTCTTTGTACGTACAGTTTGGGTATATGTACAATAAGTGGGTGCACATGTTTCATAATAGTTATCGAATAAAAACAATGGATTCCATTGTTCAACCATCATTTGTTGCACTATGCTTCTGAGAGTAGTGTTTGGTGGAAATAAGCTCATCAACGGTTCATACACTAGAGGAGAAACATCGATAAGAGAAACACCAAAATCTATATCAGGATGCTGTATTGTATTATTCATGTAATAATATAATATTGATAGACAAAAATTCGAATAAAAACATTCGAGTGTTGAGAGTAGAAAAGAATCAATTGTAAAACATCCTGCTACCATGCCTAGCATTGCATAAGGGCCACTAAGGTTGTGACCACCTATCACAATTGTTTGCCAATCGGGGGCTAAAACTTGAGTCTGGCATTGAGGATTAGTAGCACAGATACAATCCATCAATGTATCATTGTTATTGACTATACTATTAAAACGAATTGATATCTAAACAGAATTAAGAAATCATGTTTTGTTGTTCATTATACGCAATAAACTTTTTTCTACTCAATTGTTCGAAAGTCTATAAACGACACTAGCTTTCATTTACTTTTCTTATTTCGCGTTTATTACATCGTAACGTGAGAGTGGTGGATATGAGTGCAGCATGATATTACTCACATCCACACAAATAAGTCAATTCTAAGAAAAGTTGCAAAATGACCTTATCCGCTCACCTTCTTTCTAGTAAACGATCTCTGTGAACAGATCAGTTCATATCAGTGAATGTTGTCAACAATTCTTTTGATTCAAATTAAAATTGAATTTGTTAAACTCTATTGAGGATGTGTATATCGTTTTAATTATTTCGAGTGTCATGTTAGTTATAACAGTGGTATTCATAGCAAAGATAGAAGGAATGATTTTTGTTCTTCTAGTATAAAAAATACCTGTGACGATTGTTGAGTACCATTCTGATCTCTTGTAGTATTGAATATTAAACCATTCTGATCTGGTTTTGTAAAAGGTTGATCGACTTGAGTGAAAATATGTGATGTATCAATGAGAAGTTTGAAATTGATAAGTAATGATTGAATGAATTGAGTGAGAGTTGTGTTAAGCACATCTTTGAAGTTTAGTTCTGAAAGAACATTTAAAGTGGCAAAAGATCGCATAGTAAAGCGATGAACTGCATCATCAACCGTTTTATTGGCCAGATCACAAAGAGTCGACAATAGTTGCATATGTTGTGCACCAAAACCCTGATAATGGCTATGTGCATGTTCAATGAGTCTCATCATTAAAATCCATGTGTTACCAATGAAAGCACTCGAGCAGATCTGGTGTAATGTTGGTTTCAGTGAAATGAATGTCGAATAAGGGATTGTTATATTTGAACAAGGACATTCAAGTCTATTTAAATACAGATCTTGTAGATGATTGTATGTAGTTAACGAAGGACTTGATTCAGTTATTGTCATCGTTTGAGTATTTAGAGAAGTGAATAGAACAAAAATGAGGAGTGAACCTAAATAATAGAATAAAAAACAATGAAATTATAAACACTATCGTAAAAAGATCTTTAATTAGAATATTTCACATTAACTGATGAAATCTATCTTATATTATGAGCGAGTTATTTTCAAAAAAATTCTCAAGATGAAATTCAGGAATGGCTTATTTACTTTCTCTATCATTTATAATAATTAACAGTTTATTTATCCCAAGAGAAAGACAATTGTGTGCAATACTGAATAAATCTTCGAATAGTGACGACGTAGTCATAATCTGGAGACTTTATTTCTGATGATAGTCTTTGTTTATCTTGATCAATTATTACAAACTTGAAAAATCATGGTCTTGTGACATATAAAAATATTTCTACATCTTTGTAGATAAAACTTAGAGAGGTAGAGAATGACTAGTTTACTAATAAATAATATGTGAATACTCTTCTTTTCATCTCATAGTTGTGTAAATCATAAGTAAATATTCGAACTTGTGACATCGACAATAGGGTAGAGTTTAACAAGTAATAAAACCATACCTGCGAGTAAAATCAAATAAACACGTGTAGTGATACGCTGTTGTTTAATATCAGTTGGTGTTTTATGAGTAACCAACTTAAATATATTCAACTGTTTTGTCCATTGAACAAGTCGTCGAATATATGTCATATGATGTACTAGAAATCAAAACATGAATCATATCTTAGATATAGTTTTTTACTATAACAAAACGATACAAACTAGTACCGGAATTGGTATTTATGGAACGGAATTTGAACTTGAATACAATTTTGACTAAAACAATTGAAATTAGGCGGAATATAATGATAAGTCCACCGTAGAGACTCAGTAAGAGTGTAATCATATAGGAAACATTAGTCTGATCTTTTTCAGTGTATGTACACAATTTAGGAGTACACTTGGTGAAATATGTTAGATAATCGATGTTTCTTGACCATTCTTCAACCAACAGATTATTTAAAAGACTGTCTAAGGAAACATTTTGTTGTTTTGAAGGAGAAAGAGCACTGATCAAAATTAAGTTTGTCTAAACATTAGCAAAATGCATGAAATAGATAACATAGTACTATACATACTTGATTGAGTGCTGGAAAATAATTCCTAAGTAGTTGAAGACAACTAATGTTAAAGAGACAATCAAGTGTACTAGCTAGTAGAGCATCAAGAGGACTACACCCTCCGAAAAATCCATCAGCCATCGCAGAAGCAACAGGTTCAAAATAAGGAATCTCGTTAGGCCAGTACCAGTGATAATTTGTACTATCTTCGTATGATGATGAGTAGAATCCAGCTGGAACTACTGAATTTATCAAATCGCATGTTGTTATTTCATAAACGTAGGGAGCAGCATTTTGGTCGAAATATGATGTGAAATACGCATTAATTATAGCGACTTGTGAAAATAGATACACGCTAATGGCTGCATTTGTATTAAGAGCCGAGACAAATGAATTTAAGCGAGTTGCTACTTGCAAGAAATGGAGAGATAAAGTAGCTTGAACAGGTGTGCTGGTTTGAGCAAGTTTAATGCTCACATCAATCTGAGATTGAACTTCATTTTCTGATAGAAGTTCAACAGTGACAAGTTGAGTATTATTAAGATCAAGCTGAGCTTGAAAAATTGTTTCTTGCGAGAATAAACAAAGTTTAGCAAGAAGTTCGAACTAAATGGCATGGAAAGATAATTTCAGTGTTGGTCTAACTAAATAGTTCATATAGAAAGAAAGGCAGACAACGATTGTTTTAACTAACTCCTAATCGTTACTGTACATTGTAAACATTGATCATTACAATATATTTGGTAACTAAACATAATTTCATTTTAACAGACATTGTGGATCATTTTATCCGACAAAATATACTTTTTACATATGAGAGAATGGAAGTTATCAGACAGCATAATTATTGGCAACAGTAGCTGATCTCGTCAGGAAGCTCATAACTTTTCTTTTATAATATTAATCATATTCACAACGTTTCCTAGCGCAAAGCAACTTTTATTACTTGTCATAGTCAACGAACTGTGACTATCACGTAAACAGAAATAATGACTTACTTGAGAACTAGCCGTTGTTCGAAAGTCCATCACCAAGAATGCACTTGCATTTGATAAATAAAGTGCTTCTATCCATTCTTGACTCACAAACACACTTGAACACACAGGATGAAATATGATTGTGTTGGAAACAAATTCACTGTAAGCCACTGTGGTTGTTGAACATGGACAACTAAGTGTTTCACCATATTCAATACGAAGTTGTTCGAAGAGTGATGGAGTAATATTTGAGACAGTGATTATTCGCGTTTGTGGATAAATAAGAGCAACGATGAACAGAATGTAAAGTGTTACTGAAAATAAACAAAGATTTCTTCAAATCATCACATATAGTAAGTGCACTATCCTTCGCATATGTACTTGGTGAGCATTCATCTATTAAGATAATGTTCCATATTGATAGTAGGATACTTTGTTGGATAGTCTCCTAAAAATTTGGATAGCAATCTTTGGTCACGCCACTAGGTAGTAGTGTAAGCGCTTACGACTCAATACATTTACTAGAATTTTAGTATGATTTCTATATAGTTCAAATGGTGTTTGACAGACCAGCGACTATCTTTTCTTGAAACTCGGTTATGTTTTTTGACTTTTTATAAAATGTGTCGATTGTTAGAACTCGTTCGAATGTTATTCAATAGTGGATGGAACTCTCTTTAACTATATGGTTAAATTCCAGCACTTAATAAAAAAACAGTATCTGATATTTTGTTGGCATTTATTTGTCGAAATTTTGATTTATGGAAGTAGTGTTCAAGGAAATTCTAGTAGAGAACACAATATTGCTATTTTTCGATATAGTCATTCGCGTGTAATAAATGATCGTATTTCCATGTATTTATTACTTTTATTTCACCAAATAGTGCCTTTTTAAGAATAAATGATGTTATATTACTTACTAATCAGAAGAGAAACATATAATCGAGTGGCATAACGTTGTTGTTTGAGAATTATGATGGGATCTTTTGGTTCATCATCTTCATCTTCATAATCATTTTCATTGGGGGTAAAAAGATTGTAATTCCGTAATTGTTCATGAAACCAACGAAATGAATCTTTAGGATTCATGACGAACACCTGTAATGTACGTAGAAGTGAAAGTAAGTTAGATCTTATTTTGTTTTAGTATCTGAAGTTGAGATAAAACTTCTACAATTCTACTCACTTATTAGAAGTAACAAAGACAATATCTATAATCTACATAGATGATTCAAAGAACTCATAACACCAAACAAATTAAAACAGATCATGCAATCAGAAGAACTGAATGTATAGATGAGAGTGTGTGTAACTTTCTCTTCATCAACATCCATTCCTATACTTCTTATGCCCTTTATACTACTTATTGTTGATTTAGTTATAAACACATTTTTTCAAAAGACGAAGTTTCTCATTATACCATAGATTTCATTTGTTTTTATTATAGTGCTGTACACTTACCTCCGAATGAATGTGTCAAATGTTGTAAGTAAAACCAACTTCCAAATAGTGTTGTAGCTGGTAGCTGGTAGCTGGTTTGTAGACTATTTTATTTTACGGTCGTATGTGTTGAAACAAGAGAACTGTTCAATGTTATATAGAGATACTGAGAGAAGACGAGAGAAAAAAATAAGAGAAAAAGAAAAAAGAGAAGCTTTATTCGTTGCTTTTTATCAGTAGTTCCTACGTGATAGAAACATTGATGTATATGATAGATGAATAATGAAACGAGAAGAAGAATATAATATCAATCGTTCGATCATACTTATAATAGAAATCGTGTCGAATGTATTCTCAAATGTCCAGAGAAACAAACGAATTATTTTTATAGATTTACTAAAGAAAAACTAACCTTGAAATGAGTGATTAAAGTAATGTAGGAAAATATTTAACAGGAAATAATATCTTCAGAAAAATTTTCAAAAGTAATTAAATAAACAATCTGAAAACTATTAGTAATTACCATAGAAAAAAATGTTTGATTTATTTTTCTATAAATTATTCTTTTCATCAACAGAATTAAAGTTAATAAGTAAAAAGTATTATATTCATATTAAATATAAAATTTAATTTCCTAGAATTATCATCTGATCATAAATCGATTATGATAAATTGTTAGTATTCACTTATTGATACAGGGTAATATATTATTACATTTCACCACAGATGAAACGATATTTTCATTTGATTAATTTGATAAAGTAAAAAGAATATTTGACAAAAATAAAACGTTTTATCTGTAAATCATCATTTTAAAGATTGATGAAGAATAATAATAACTAGATTCATATATGTTTATCATTATTTATTGAGTAGAATTAAATCATAGTTAGAAAAGCTATATCTTTCGATGATAACAATGATTAATATTATTATTTATCTAACTGAGTTAAGATTTTTCATTAAAGAATTTCTTGTCTATAATACAAATCTATAGTGGCAATATTTACTCGAAAAGAAACGTGATAGTTTGAAATTTGTTTTGATTTCGAATAGGTTCAAATCTATGATTTTCATCATACAATTTTACATCGATTAGATAAAATAAAATGTATATTCTTTCTTTGCAATCACACTTGAGAGAGAAATAATTACATTTTTTTTCTAAGAAAATCTTATTACTAATTAGTTCTACTTCAAATGTTTTTAAAAAAATGATGAAACAGTACGAAATCATATTATACAGTAAATTTGAAGTTTTTTATTTACCAAGAAGAATATCATGCTTTTCTACTTGTTTGATAATGAATATGTGAGCCAGTAAAAAAATATATTATTTGAAAATAAATGTTGAAAGAGGAAATTATTTTAAAGAAGAACTAATTATTTTTCATAGAATACTATTATTAAATAAATATATTAATATTTTATAAAAAATAATTAGTGTTTCGAATGATATTACACAACTGAAATTTCAGAATAGATATTTATATCTCGAAAAGTAATTTTTTCGGAGCAATCACTCATACTCAGAAGAAATTAAACAAGCTTTTCTGATAGAATGTAAGAAATATCTTCAGTTTTGTTGAGGAAGAACAAGAATATTCTATGTTTGAGAGAAAAATAGAAAATAATATCTTCAATATCCATTGTTAAGGATGAGTGTGATCAGAGAAAGATATTTATCTACATTTCGCCACACCCATTTTTAAGACGCGAGGGACGTTATCCTTTTCATCTTTCATCTACATCGTTTGATTTTAGGATCGAGATTAATTTAAATCAGAGAAATGATTCTATTCTTTTACTGTATAGTTGCTGGGTGAATATGAGACATGTGTTATATTTAATCCACATGCACTGTCGTCCATTGCTAACGATGGCAGTATTGAAATTTTGGACAGGAAAAAAACATACGTCGAATCTGCCGTGGAACGTATTATTTCGAAATAATGAATGCTGCAACTATCTTGAGGATGTGGATATAGAGAAGAAGAAAAAGCCATATCCAGCTTTGTTTTATTTTATTTGATGATGAAAACAACTTATAATTGATTCAGATGTAAGGATCTGTTGCTTATCTACATCCTTGCTCATCCTCAATAATAATGTTTACCTATAAATTATTTTAAAACGTCCAAGTTACGCCAAATATGTTTGATTAAACGATTTTAGAGAAAATAATTGACAGATGTAGGAACTAGTTGTAAAAAATGTTTGTTTAATTTTACTGAGTAACAAAGAATTCTCTTTCGATTATTGAGAAGAGACAATATATGAAAATATTATTTATATTTGTCATTTCTAATGAAATAATTTTACAAACGCATAACTATATAATTCAACATTAAACAAACAATACTGCCTATTTTCATTGATTTTTTTTGGTTTGAAAAAAACGTAATTAAAAATCGAGATTGAGAATAATATTTTATTCATTCACTTCAAATGAGTTATTTGTACGCATGTATTATTTCACTTGTTTCATATGAGATTGCATTTAACAAGATTCCTTTATTATTATTATTATTATTATAAAGGTATGATGTGTATATGATTTTGTTAATGCAATTTTCATGAAATGAAATATTCATTCAATAGAAAAATAGAAAATTACATATCGACAATGGCTAAAGTAACTCGTATTAGTAAAATACAGTTGAATAATGAATTTGGAAGGGTAAATTAATAGAATTATTTTGAGAATTTTTACTACTTTTGAAAAGAATAGAACACATCCTATGAATCTACAGATAATCAAACAAACATTGAAATTCAACCATATGGATGTACAAATAATGTAAGTAACTTTCTTATAAATTTATAATCAACAACATATGTTGTTCATATTCTAAAAGAAATCTCTCATATTTAAGAATGTCAGACGTACTAATGTCATCGTACAACGATTGTCACATCAATGTGCTAGTCGAGTAATGCCGGATAATATCCAGGTAAGTCATTTAAGACAAAACTAAAAGTTCGAGACATACATTATGTGCAGGCGATTTTATTTTCGACTTGAGTAAATAGATTAAAATGGTGACTGATTATATTTTAGCGAATATCATCCAGCATAAATAAAACAAATACATTGGATTTTTCAAACGACAGATTTCCAGGAACATATAAAAAGGAACGAGTAACTCGTCGTCGGCGAAAGTACGTTTTTGTATGAAATTTCTTTGATTATATTCTCTTCTC